TCAAAAGAAGTTTGACTTCGGTCTTGAGAATTATGTTTCAATGAACGGACTTAATTTCGGAGCATCATGGTCTGGTGACTTGCTTTAGTTTTGTCGCGTTATTTTAAGGCATATATCATAGTTAAGTCAGGTAAATTGGAAACATATTTCCATCTGTTTTAAACCCGGCTATGCACGACAGTTCAGTCGTCAAGAAAATTCCTCTTATGTATTTGTATCGTGGTGTATAAAAAAACGGTAGGTCGGTTTGTATCAAATACAGATAAAAAAAGAAGATCTTTGTAAATCATTGAATCAGCTTTTTGTCAGCACTGGTCGATGTTGCTTCATGACTTATTTGATACGGTTAGCGAGTTACGAATAAAGCCTTGTCATGTATTCAAAACATAACTTTGACACGGCTAAAGAGTACTGTTTAGTGGGGAGCAAGTTTTTCGAAGTTTTCGTTGTAAACGTGTACGATTGTGCAATAGTCTTTATCTTCACGACTGAACGACAGAGTCGATGACCAGTCGCTTGTCGGCAACGTCGTAACGGTGGTTAAACGTACATTCTCCTTAAAAGACAGCTGAAAAAAGCAAGAAAGAGTAATCATCATTGTGATGACGCAGCGGGTAGGGATGAGAGACTGTTGTTTATCCGCTTGCTTCATAAATCATTGACGATAAGGAATTCTACGATGCGGACTGGATTGGATTTGTTTGAAAAATTAAGCTACGAAATGATTTACTTCTTGATTTTTTATGCTTTGATCGACTTCGAGCAATTGCATAAAGGGGTAAGTTTCTAAAGAAACTGTGGTGCTGCGTCGGTGGTGGGAGAGTATAGCAGGTAATTTAGTGTTAACAACTGAGTTGAAAACGTAAATTTGCCACCGTAAAGGGTAAAAAAGCTGACGTTTCGAGCGTTAGCCCTTCGTCAGAGCGATTGCATTCAAATAGTTTTTGAGAAAAAGTCACAAGTTTAAGGCTTGAGAGATAATCACTAATAGATAACTTAAAATCCGTTTCCTTTTCCTTTTTCTTGACTTCCGGACCATGATGGCAAAGCAAATCTTAATGGCTCTGTTTACCCACTTACAGTTTTTTTTTCACCTTTGGGACACAAACAGAAACAGATGGAATATTTAAGTAGTTTTCGTTCAACTTCAAAGAGACTTTTTTCCGCTCCTTTGTGTCCTTATTCAAATATTGCGATTTGTGTAACAATAGCACTTCACACCAGTTACTTCTTAAGCAAGTACCTTGTCCAGCTTCGATGATTACAAGCTAGAGTATGCTAGAGGTCATGTCGCTTGTTGGCCTGACCTAGAATAAAAGTACTGTGGAACCAAAGATTGTCTTATCCTTGACGTCCGTATAAGCTCGCTCGAAGTAGATCTCCGTGTACCAGGAAATCGTGACGAGTTTCCGTTCTCGCTGCCGAGTCGTCTCTACAGAGTTATTTCCCCCAGTTGTTATTGTGCCGTCCGCGAAGATCCAGTTTTCCAGTTTTGGGGCGAAAACTTATCGTCACAGCATCTTCGCTCTGAGAGATATAATTTATCATTTAGTTCACTCGAAGTTTCAAGTAAAAGGAATTAGTAGTCTTAGTTGCAACAATAAATGCGATCAACAAATGTAATCTACACAAGAAGTGGCTTGCATTTCCGATATTTTAATGAGGTAAAGAGTGAAAATTAGACAGTCATACAGAACTTTGCCCACAGCTTCCTTAACGTAAGCACTTGTAGTTGAATGTCAAGTTTTTTGATAACTATTGTCTATATTAATTCTGTTACGGATTTTATGAGGTTGATCAAGAAAACCTGGAAGAGAGGCTGCTTAACGTCATTTTTTAAAGCGAAAAGAACAAGAAACAAACTTAAGAGAAGAAACTGACAAGATGGGTTCGCTTTGCAAAACGCCCCTCCCCCCCTCCCTCGACACATAATCACACTGATACTTCTCATTATTTTTTAGCTCTCAGGGGTAGTGACAAGTCTTAATTGGCATTTGACATCAAGGAGAGTCAATTAGATACCCGCAAAGTTGTAAAACTCAGAGGAAATTAAACGATTGATGTTATGATCATTAAGGAACTTGAGTTCACTCGTGATGTTCTAAATAAAAATCGATCTTGCTAATCATTCGCTACAAGGAACACAAGTAAATCAAACCAGTAAAAACATGTAAGAAGTTTGACTTTATTTATAGAGCATGTACGTTTAATTCAGCATGAATCAGTGGTTTGTCAGAAGCGGAACCTTTGGAATGGAACTCTCGGCCACTTTTCTATTCATAACCAACCACCCTTGAAAAGGCTGGTAACAGTTATTAATGACTATGACAATGCGTGATGTAAATTGGTGCTTTGTTTCTTTGGTATGAACAAAGCAATAGATATAAATTTGTCACATTGATTTGTTAGCGAACCGCTCAGCAAATCTTAAGACACGAATTTAGTTATCCTTATTACCGTGGTTTTCTGTGGACAAATGTGATCATGTTCCGATTCTCATCCACATGACTAAGTAAGTACATAAACAACGAGGTAGAACAACTTACGTGAACCCCATTTGACTCTGCCAAGTTTTCTTCGCGTGACTTCCTCGCGTTTACATAGTTTTGGACTCTTTTTATCTCGAATACTGATGTACAAAATTTGAAGCCAATCTGAGGTCTTAATGTTCTTCTTAACGCAAATCCATTCAAACATCATAATGTAGTAGAGTTGTTTATATACAGCGTGTAGTACTTCATGTTCATACTTGGGGTTTATATTTTCCTCTATCAGCGTTATGGCGAACAAAATTACATTCAAATTAACGCGAAAATTTCATACAAGGCTATATTATGAATTTAGGTTGACCCAAGTTAAATTTTGGTTTGTTCATGAAATTGTTCGAGAACGTTCACATTACCACTTTATTTCAAAAGTAACCATCCTCTTTTATTAAGCTTTGCAAAGATTTCGGGAATATAGGCAAGTATTTTATTTGCCATCGGGTAAAGAAAAAGCTATGGTCAATATTTTGTGGGAGACGTCTGTTTACAGCAAGTGTGTGAAAGAGTTGTTAAGAAATTAATTATGTGGATGGTCTTTTATAACACTATCCAAGTTCTTTTTAACAAATAGAGAAGCCTTGACTGTGCTCTGTTCTGTTGTAAGGCACTTAGGAAGCGGCTAGAGCACGAAAGAAGTGTAGGGAGAAACACTCGACTACGTCTCTACTTCTTTCGTGCTCTAGCCGCTACCTAAGTGCTTTACAACAGAACAGAGCACAGTCAAGTCTTCTCTATTTGTTTTATAATAAAAAATCCGTTAAATTCCCCAATAATTACTTTCAATTTTCAAAACAAACTTTATTTCCAAAGCGAACAACAGTGTCGTCAGCATGCTCTATACTCTCATAAAGCACGCTTCAATAAGCCAATCAGAATCCCTGTTAGAATGGTTCAAATAATCTGATTGGCTGTACAAGACTGTCAAAAATGTCAATCCATCAAAGTTCATATTCTGCAATAGTTTATAATTAGCAAAGAGATTCCAAGTTGCCGTTCGTCTGTTCATGTAATAGATCACAGATGAGGTCAAAATGTGGTAAGAACAAACAAAAAAGTGGCACACGTGGCGCAGCCGAGTGTGTCACTGATGTTCTTACCACATTTTGACGTCCTCTGTAATCTATTACTGAACAGACGCACGGCAACTTGGAATCTATTTGTTTTATATAATAAAGAATTTAAAAAAATTTTAATGATGACGTCATCTATACGTCTGTCCTCCAATAGATCATAAGTGAGAACCAATCGGAATACGTGCATAACTGAGCTTATTATATAAACCCTCATAAAGCACGCTCTTTTAACCAATGACAGCACGCGTTATATCCGAACTTTACTATAAAATGCTATGGTCAATAGTTTGTGGGAGATGTGTGTTTACAATAAGCATGTAAAAGAGTTGTTAAAAAATTATGTTGGATAGTCTTCTACAGCACTATCCAAGTCTTATAGCGATCTAGAGATTTCGTTTTTCCTATTGTTGGAAGCGTTGTTTTCTTTCTTGTCTACTGCGATACGATAAGCAATTCTCGCAGACGTCAGACTCGCCGAAGTATCTCGACATTGGCAAGTGCATAAATATTCAGAGAGGTACGATAGCAGATTTTCCGTATGGCTCTCTCTTGAAAGTTAGGCTTCTGAAGATAAATTTTAACATGTTAGTCTCTAAAATACCGAGAAAATTAGCAAGCTTGGTTTATCAGTCACAATTAATACTAAAACGATCTCTTCAAGCAAGACATAGGAGCATTTCCGAGGCCTTTAATATTACTGTTTCGAGTAATGTACGTCGAGGAGGTGCTATTTAAGAGATAGATTGCATTTTCTATCAGTTTACCGGCGTAATAACTTACTTGGGATGTTGGAAGAACACGAGAAAAGTTTGTAAACCAAAATTGGATTGGCGTTCAAGTGCTATCGTGTAGATGTTGCAAAGTTCACGATTTCATTATTGTTAACGACTTACCACACGCCAGGATAGTTTCTACACAATTAATGTTGTTTATGTGGTTAGTAGTCGTGTACGCAATTGAATGCGTGGTATTTGAGTGATATTTAAATTCAAGCACGTACCATTTGAAAATCTTCCGCATCAGAATGATAATTTTATGATCAAGCCATCCAAAACACAAATTTCATACAAATCAACTGAAACGCATTCTCTGTCTTGATTTATGCACCACTTTTATACCTGTTCAATTGATTTGGTGTATTCGAAGTTGGCGCGTTATTCGTGTTGGAACCTTGGTGAGCCTGTCAAATAAACACCATCGCTTTCATGGGACAATATGTCAGGATATGATAGAAAAGAAAGAAATAGTAACCCGTATGTTAGCAATTGTAACAGATCAAGAAGTAACGCTTCTCAAATTTGCTTCCGTTAGATTCTCATAAAGAACTTTTCAAAGGTACAGATCTGAAACATTGGAAAGACAAGAAAATAAAAACGCAGACATGGAAACACAGATTGGTGACAATGGAGAAATACCTCTGGTGTTTGTGAATGACGGAAATGGGGATGCTGAAGAAAATCATGAGATAAAGACGACGAGAGAAAGAAGGAGGTCCCGTATAATGAGCGGTGTCTTCATGGGTTCTGGCACAGGTGAAGAGGGTCAGGAATATAGAAAAGTAAGTACAAAAACCTTATCTTGCACCTTGATTCTCCGAATTCTAGGTGTAGTGAAGTTTGAATGTTGTCCTTCTCTACCTTCAGATCAAGGAATGAGAAATTATGAGAAACGGAGAGGAAAAAAAACAAGGAAACCAACAAAATATGAGTGAAAAATTATGACATAATGGGAAAATAAGTATACAATTTAAAAAAGTGAACAAGGAATTGTATATGACTTCAAATAGAGAAGGTAGGGAGGGGGTAGGTGAGAGACTGAGAAAGAGGAAAATTAAGGAAAAAGAGCAGGTAAAATTGAAAACGCAGGAATGAAGGAAATCATCATTCAAATATAGAGATGGTGATATACATGCGGTTGACATCTGTATCATGATAAGATTTCGTATTCAGCAAGTGTGGCTGCATAGCTGGCTGGTCAAGGATCTTTGAAGGGAATAAGCTCCTTTTCTTGGTCCCGCTGTCATATTTTCATTAAGCGCCCAAAAATCAACTAGTCTCGTATCTAAACCATTCACGGCCAAGCGGTTGTACATTTCAGTTACTGTTACACGATAGGATCTGGGACCGAGATTAACAACCGAACACATGTCAACTTTCTTCCTGGCTCTTTGATTTTAGGAAGAAATCTTAGGGGATAAATCTACGAGACTTCACAAGCTGATTTTGGAGGGAGAAGTGGAAGAGGTAGAGAAATTGTTGGCTAGAGGCGGAGGTAAGCAGTAAATCAATTTCCCAGTATAATTGCATTATTCCTATCCTAAATTCTGCTTACATCAGTCATCCTGGAATCATAGCTTCGTATGAAAATTGGTTTTTTGTGGTATGAAAAACTTGTCAGTGCGTGGTAAATAAACGAGGAAGCTGTATTTAGCCAGTGTTCGGACATTCTTTGATAAAGTCAGGTATGTTTCCTACTGAAAGTGGATCCATTTCCATCGATTATTATGTAACGCTTTATAGAAAGAGAAGCATGATTCGTGAATTTATGAACCAGCGTGAGGCGTGATTTATTTGCTGATGTATGCGTAACCCTCAATTTTTCTTTTATTTCGTAAAAACCACAAGATTTCCATGAAACCTTGTGCATAAGAAGGGAGATTCGAAGCTTTCCCTTTTATTTATATTACGCGTGAATTTTTCTTCATTTCGTGCGAGGGGACCTTCTTCCCCCCGCCCATGCTATCCTTCTTGCGTTCATCTTGCTGAGGCCATTTTGATTCGTTTGAAGGACCGATCAAGTAGTCTACTGCTGAAGTTCTCTTGAGGTTTGTGATGAACTGTTTTCTTTTTGGATTATCAAGCCATCAATCGAATATCTAATTTTTTTTTATCAGCGATCAACAACGGAGACAAGTCAGGAAAAACTCCTCTGCACACCGCCATTCTCTCAAAACAATTTAAGATTGTTGACAGGCTTCTAGAATGTGGCGCAGACGTCACCAGGAAGGATGACGCAGGAGATACTGCACTGCACACTGCCATTCGTGTCGGAAGCGAAAGACTGGTATTAGTAAGTATCAACAACAATGTCCAATGATACTCATATTTGAGTCATGAGCCTCCGTGGAACGTTCTTTCTAACCGCCAGACTTTAAGCATACGAGTTAGCAACTTTTCCTGGAATATACTCGAAGAAATCTTAAGCCTCATCAGGTTTTGCATTCGATACTCTATGCATTCAGTTGTTTCCAAGTAATGCTACACTTAAGGATAGTAAAACGCTAACATCGTAACGAGTGTTTGTGCTGTTTTAGACAGAACTTAAACTTCGCTCTCATTTTGCAGATTTTCTTTTTTTTTTATTGTGTAACGGTCATTGATGAATAGACCTATGTACAATTGTTAACTAACAATAACAAAACTTCGTTGATTTTATTTCTTGCACATTTGAGCGCAGGGGCGTATGAAACGCATGGCAAAGAAACGAGAACCTCGCAAACTTCTTACTTCACATGCACTGGTAGAAATTGAACGTTTTTATCATAGGATCTTGTAATTTTTGTACTGATGAGATGACATTGCCGAACAGCTAATAAGTTGACGGATTTTTTCTAGACCTTACTACAACAGGGCCGTGCAGATGCAAACGCTCCGGGCCGTAATTCATGCACGCCCTTGCACCTTGCTGCTGAAATGGATAACGAAAAAATTTGTCAAATACTGGTAAGGTTCTTCAAGAGAATAATATAGCACGACACCTGTTATAACCATATACGCCTACTTTCAATGCCGTTTTCATAGAGAAAAGCGAACCTCTTTTCGAAAAGAAAAATAGCGCGAGGTTTGAAACTTTTCCTTCTATCTCGTCCTTCCTCTTTCGTAAATCCCCTATTTCTTATTGTTTCCTCTTCATTTTCTCTCTGTATAAAAGATGCCACCCAAGCTTCCCCTGGGAAAAATTAGACAGCTGAACCTTATCACTAGAGCTATTAGCATCAGAAACAAAACAAATCACAAAAACTTGAAACAAAAACAAAAATAAAAAACGAAAAAAATTAACGAAATCAAAACAAAAACAAAAAGGGAAAACGTTCATTCAACTTAGCAGAATTTAATTGACTCAAAACAACATCAAAATTTCTCCTCTTTAATCTAGAACTAACCTTTCCGTAGACAATTCAAAAAGAACATTGATATTAAGGTTATGTAGACCACTATATCTATATTTATTCAAATGATAATTTTTTTTCGTTGTTAGATTGATAACTCAGGAGACACAAAAAGCCTCGACGATGACCGAATGACACCGTTGGCTCACGCGATGGAAAGAGGCGCCGGGAAATCAGCTGAATTCCTCTTGAATCATGGTACTTTGCTTACAACTTATTCAATGCTTTCAAGAGATTATAATAAAGCTCATAATCTCTTGCTAATGTATATTCTAAATTTTGAACCTGTTATTAAGCGAATGGGTTTTTTTCCCATAACAGCGCGACAACGAGGGACGGTTGACGACTTTTTATATGAAGTTGATATTGATGGCAGCAGTCTCCTTCATCTGGCTGTGAACAGTGGTGTACTTGCGGTAAGCATGCACCTTTTAGACCTTTAAGCTGTCGTGAGGTCGACTGATTCAAACGTTCTAGCTTGTGCAGTAAAATGCTCCAATCTGAAATCCTTGGTTTCTAAACATTCCGTAATAACCGCCAACACAGTGGATTCGATGCCGACAGCAGGAATGAAATTTTAACACGCATTTAATCTTTATTGACTCGACCAGCAGTGCGAAGATACCTTGCCGTAGAGCGATATCTTAGCGTAGCGTGCGGTTAAAACTGAAAGAAGTATACATTTAAACAATCGTTAGAGTAAAGAAAAACCCCAAGCCGAAAGCGACACAAAACCTAAATAGACATTCGCCATTTGTCACGGCCTTGGAAATGGTCTCATAAACTGTTCTGTATACTGCAGTTGCGTTTCCAAGGAAACCAAAACGAACTGAAAAACGGTCCTGCCAAAACAGGCAATTTAAACTGTCGAAGCAGCGAGAGCATTCGAATAAATTACACGCGTAAAGGCGCATTCCACACACCTAGTACAGGCTAATTGAATATATGGGCGCTAACGAACCAAACGTAGCTTCCTACCCTTGAACAGATAATTTTAGTTTATACCTGATTTTTGCAAAAAATTGGATTGCGCAGTAGTTCTTTTTAAGGGAGCACACTCTCATTAATCATAGTCTAGCGAATAGCAAGATATCTTGCGCCATGTTGATCCCCTCGTTTGATTTTATCAAAAGAGAACGTAATCTTTAATTTGAATCGATTTTTAGGTCGTTAAACACTGCATAGAATATGGAGTGAGGATAAGACAGCCCAGGGTAAGTAACATTTACTGCTCCATGGCTGTATTAAAAAATTACATGTTAAAAAACTTTTCATAGTTACAAAATCAGCCTGCCATTATCTATTACAATTCCTTCATTACTACTTTAAATATTTTGCCAGAGGATCATCACTTACTTGTCGTCTGTTTCTCCCATACTTACCAAGAGATGTAGCCTTAATGATCTATGTCCACATTTTTCCGCATGTAAACACCACAGAAACTAAACAGGGAAACAGCCTTTCACATGGCGTGTGAAATGGGATCCATACCGATAGTTGAATATCTCGTCAGTACAGACCCGGCGCTCTGCCGAATAACTCTTGTTGACTCCAGAGGACGGACACCACTTCATATGGCTGCCAGACGAAACCATGCTCACATTGTTAACTTTCTTCTAGAGAAGGTCATTTTTTTTTTTGTTAATCAGATAAATTAGATAGATAATCTACGGTAGGTAATCACTTAGTAAATGATTACCTGCTGTATTTTATCTATTTAGGAGGCATTTGTTTCAATAAATATATGCTATTTTGAAAAGCAATTTAGCACAAATATATTCATCTTTCCTTGTATGGGGTAACCTCAATTTTATGCAGGAGGCGATGGTAGATCCCAAGTCTGACGAGAGACGCACACCATTGTTCATGGCAGCCGAAAATGGTGCTTTTGATGCTGTTACACTACTCATGGAACGTGGTGCTGACGTCACTGTCCGGGACACTGAGTTGCGGTCTGTGTTACACGTCGCTGTGGGCCATCCTCGCGTCATAGAAAATCTTCTTCAGGTCAGTTAAGGAACTATAAAAACAGTGTGCTTTCTCAGGTCTGTTTAGTTCTCCATGAGAGCTCAAAACTAACAAAAAAAGCTTCGTCGACCCAAGCTATGTACTCTGGGTTTATGAATGAACAACTTCTGTGTATACCACATCAATGAATACTGCTTTTCGCGCGCGCTGATTGGTTAGTGTGGAAGTGAATAGCAAGTACTATTCATCCTCCGAGCAGCCGATGAGACAAAATTGCGCTGCAAGAGTTTAATTTCTGACAATTTGTCGGTATATTGAAAGAAATAAACTATTTTTAGTCTGTGTGGTATAGACAAGTGTGTGACTAAAACATTTAGTCACCTCAAAGTCTTTGAAAGTAGTGGATATTTACCTCGCCTCTTCGTGGCTCAGTATGACGGTATCCGCCATCATTCACCTCCACTTTGGTAAATAATTGTTGAATAATCAAACCAAATCCAGACATCAGATGACCAGAAACAAACACATAAACAGAGTAACATCTGATAGCGGAAATTCATCGGGGCGTTAGGGAGAGGGGCAGTGTGATAGTAGAACCAATGGGGTAACTGTACATCTGATTAAGATTTTTTTATCTGCTTATTTGCATGTTAAAAATTAGGTTCTGTTACTAGATAGTTCATAATATCTTACGTCTGTGGTATATCATATCATGGGGACGCATTCACACTGTTTCGAGTTTTTCTTCCGTTGTTTTTAGAGTCCAGCGGTGATGTCCCTCATCACTGAGAAAGATGTGAGTGGTTACTCAGCTGTACATTATGCAGCCATGAAGGGAAACATTGCGGTGAGAAATTGTATTTTATACAAGGCACATAGCCTGCGTAAAAAAAAAAACAAAAACTGATTTCCTTTAACGATGACGAACAATTTGGTTTTCTGTAGACTTTGGAGCTTTTTGTAGCGAAAAACAAGGCAGCTGCAAGTGTGACATCAGATTCCTTGGAAACACCCATACACGTGGCTGGCAGGTATGTGTCTGGGAAATTTTTTCTCGGAACAAACGTCTTTTTGCATTTAGATGGAAACGGCGACTGTTAAACCGATTGGCATAGCTTGAGCTACCTGATGAATCTTTGAATCTCTGACTTACAGAAGGATATCTAACAAGAAAGATTTAATCTCCTTAAGGCAAGACTGCAATGTAGTTTGAAACCCCAGAAACAATTTGGCATTGGTAACAACCTTCTTTTACATATCAAAACCTGCAATCTCAACCGGGGAGTTTTCATCCTTTCGCAGCTTGGATGTGTACTGAAGTTGTAGATTTACTTGGATCTTGTTTTTGTAAGCAAACTGACGGGGTTAAAACATCACTCCAAAATATGTTTTATTATATTTATGAGGCTTTATCTTGTTCGCTGATCATATAATTTTTTCGCTCGATAGATATGGCAAGACAGAAGCGATAGAAAAACTGATGGATCGACAGAATGCTCGAATTCTAAATCTACAAAACAATCAAGGAAAAACTGCCCTGCACTTTGCATGCATGGAGGGGCACGATCTTTCAGCAGAAGTGCTTTTGAGATTAGGAGCAACCATTGAGAAGTACGTGAGTATGATTGAGGAATTCCTCAGTTGTTAGTCAAAACGCTCATATTAAGTTCATATCAAGCAGATATCGATGGCGAAAGTTTATGAGCGGAAGCAGCTAATGACAGTTAGGACAGCTAGTGAGAGTTGGTAGCAGAACTTAATTTACCACGGTTTGGGCGAATAACGGGTGAAAAAAGTCGAGATAACGAATCATTTACTTTTTGAAATTCATAGGGATCAACAAGACCGATCTCCATTACATTTAGCGGCTTCTAAGGGATCCACGAGATGCTGTGAAGCGATTCTTCAGAAGTTCGAGGATTGTATAAACATGGTGGAAAAAAATAAGGTAGCACACCCACAATTTTTTTAAAAACTTGACTGATGTGATTACTTGCCACTACCGTGTTTTCTGCCAATCAGTGCGCCAGTAGAATGCCAACGGTTGGGCTGAGATTTTGAATAACCTGAGATGGACTAGCCTACACGTGGATGGATTAATAGCATTTCCTGCCACCTCGTACTTTACCTGGCGGCTCTCAAGGACCTCAACCTAAATCATTTTTAAGTTAGGGTAAGGCCGAGGACGTCATCGCCTTAAGATCACATTCGCGAAAACTTTACGCTCAACTAAGTATTCCTCAGCTGATTCGCTTGTTGCGCGTTATTACAAAAATCTGTTCATTTGGTAAATTTGGTATACGCGTTAGGTGCGAAATGAGAAATGGTCATGTTTAGCTCAAGTGCGGCATTTTACCCAATCACTCTTGTCTCCTTTGATTTCGTCACCTCATTCTTTCCGTTCCTACTCTGTGCTATTACTTTTCACAGAACACGGCGTTACATATCGCGGCCATCAATGGTCACGCTTCTGTGGTGAGCTTATTGTTGTCTGATAGCAAAGCGGAAGTCACACGTAACAACACAAATGATAACATTCTGGACGCTGCTGTTAAAGAAAAGAGGAGTGACGTTGTCATGACGATTGCCGGAAATGACAGGTAAAATGCATGCTGCCAAAGGGATATCTTTAAGATGGTTTCTTGAGACAATTTTTAAAAGTGCTCAGTCAGTCTAAGGGCATTTTAGCAGTGAGTTACATCGACATAAATATAACAATATTATTAGAAAGCATAGTAGTTCCCAGACTACAAGACAAAAGCTTTTTGGAATTGGTAGACCCACCTATAGTTTTTCACCTCATGGGCATGCCTTAGAAGTTTAGTATTAAAAAATCATTTAACAGTTTTGAAATCGTGAAAAACTAAATCTGTGGTTACTTCACTTGAAAACCCCTTGGAAACAGCCATGATGAAGGGATGGGGGATGATATTGATACTTCCAACAAAGAGATTTGAAAATTGAAACTACGTAAAATATTGATTTAAACAGAGACGTTTTATAAATGCGTACGGCTCGCGGAAAGATTATGTAATCTCCTCTTGGGTGTTTTGACATAAGGTATTCCAATGAACAGCCCCTGAGTTACAATATTACTGACATTCAAGGCTCTTTCTTTGCGTCTATGCGCATAATTGTCTTTCATGTACAACAACTATCCATTTAGTGTTTACTTTCTGTTTTTTCCTTCTCGTTAAATAGATGGAGAGAAGTTCTGACAACGTGTTCAACAGGCGTGGTTCCGCTGCTACAAAATCTCGTAGAAGATATGCCAGATGCCTTAGTGGTAACTACATTTCGATAGAATTGCAAACTGTTAAATACATTTAAAGATTTTGTGGTATTGTTAATTCAAAGAGAATATAGACAGTTTCAAGAGATTATAATCTCCTGACACTTTATATTCTCTTGGTAATTTTAAGGGTAAAGAAGTTGCTTCTTTCACTGCACACCTAATATCGATTGGTAAGCTAGGGTGTATGTGGTATCACGGTTTCATAGAGCCTTCTTTCCTTGTAGCGGATTTTGGATCAGCTTGTAACAGAGACTGGAGATCAAAACAGCATGAATTACAAGGTAAGACTAAAGACAATCTTTCATTATTAAATGTTACCCCGCCGGGCAAGGTAAAAGTAAAACTGCAGTTTGATTTCTACTGTCTTGGTTTGTTTTGTTTGTTTGTTTTCATTTCCTTACATTTTGGAGAAAATAATATGTTTGGAGCACGTAAGTCAGACCTTTATCTAAGATTTTGTTGCAGTGGTAAGTGGTTTTAACGGACATGGTTGAGGCAAAATTAAGGATGAATCAGTTGCTAGAGTGATGGATTGACAGTCCTTAAACGCCAACAGAGCAAACTATCGGCCCTTCTTCCTTGTTGTAAGGCTGCAATTTGGCTTACGTCACCCTGCTATTAATTCAACATTTTTCGATCCTTTCTTATCGATTACAGATCAATTATGACCTTGGTTTGATTCAAGGAAAATTTGAAGAACCCGAAATCAAATCACGAAGAACCACCGATACCGGAGAAAAGGTAATAGAATAGAAAACGAATAGAAGACATAACGGCAACATTTTTCTCACTTTCTAGAGAACTGTTTGCCTCCTGCACATCCACCAATGGTTAGCCTGTGCAAATGATAAGTTCTAGGTTAAAACTCAAAGCTGTGGCTTGAAGGGACATTGAAGTCAAATGAATATTATTTAAGAATACTCCAGTTTTAGATTTCCGCTATTTCATATGATCTCGGTTGCTCTATCTTCTTTGTCGCTCTCTGTCAAAAAAACTAAAAATATTTATAAATGTTTAAAGATTCAGTAAAGGAGAATAACGTATGGCTAGGGATATATGGCTGAGATATAGCCAGAGGAAAAACTTTTATTTCGAATATTTTTAAACATTACAGCTTTGAAGGAATAATTAAAAAACGAAATGAAAAATATCCTATCAGTCCACTACCACGCCAATATACCCATGAGTCCTTGTTTGTTTTATATATTAACTTTCAAAATCAATGAATGAAATACTATTTTAGGATTCATCAAAAGAAAGTGTTAAAGTCGAAACTGTGGAGATGAAACGATCTGAAATGAACTCATTGGCTTTAATAGAGGTAAAAGAGACATTGTTGGTACAGTTTTACCATTTCTGCGAAGTAATGTACAGCTACTATCTATTCGAATACGTACAAAATACTTTTGCAGTGCTGTAGGTAGCCCCTGCCTGCAAGATACAGGGTATCTACGTAATATATACCTTAATAATCATGATGAGGATCCAGACTTCAATCCCTTGAAATCTCTTAATGTCTAACGACGATATTGCTCATTATTTAAGGCAATTCAAATTTTTTCTTCTTTCATGCATATGTCCAACGAATGTGAACACCTCTCTTCATAAACGTCAAGAAAAGCATCACAAAAACGTGTTCATGTGGGTTACGAGTTTTTTTAGGTAAATGTTCATGTAAAAATAACCAAATATCAGCCGTGTTCTAGAGATGCTTTTCTTTTTATATTTCAGACCATGGCGATTCATCGCAGAGAGAGATGCCTAACGCATCCTATCAGCTTTCATTTGCTGAATACTAAATGGTACGAGGAGAGTAAAATGATTAAAGGATCTCAACCCTGACTATTTAAAATTTTTCTCCATCAGTTACATATTACATACAATAAGTTTGTTATTGGAAATAAAACCACCCTCCATGGACTTGCATCATGAATCACCTCAACTTTTAAAACCCACCTCAACAGGAAAAGATCTGGATTCAAAAGTATTAAAAATAACGTCATGGACTGCACTGTTCACTTTTATTCTACAAGGTAATAATAATGCTCTTTCATGTGTTTCCAGGAAGAAGTTTGGCTGGATGACATTCGCAGTCAACCTGTTGACCTACCTCCTCTTTATTGTACCGCTGACCACCTTAGCCGTGTACACGCGAACACATGAAGATGATTTGTGTGGTTTTAACTCTTCCAATCCCAACGAGGTAAGCTTTGCAGGCTATAAAACAATTCAATGAATTTGACAATTTACATGAAAAAAACCTATGTATTTTTATTCGAACGAAGATCCTTCTCAATATCAAATATGATAACCTTAATAGGTATGTTTTTTTGAGGCGTATTGATTGCCTAGAAACCACGGCTTAAGTTGGCCTTTGTTTAATCATTAACGAGCCCTGAGAGTCTGAGCTTCGAGGCCCTACGGGTTACCTAGAATTTTCCTTTGTCCACGCTACAGAGAAATGTTCAACTTCTAAGCTGTGTAAAATTATATTTCCTTTGAAGACTGCCAAAAAATAAAGGGGGTAAATTTCTAAAGAAACTATGGTGCTGAGTCGGTGGGAGAGTATAACAAGGTAATTCATCAACTGAGTTGATAACGTAAATTGGCCACCGTAAAACGTTTAAAAGCTCTGAGGAGGGGCTAACGTACGAAACGTCAGATTTTAAACTCTTTACGGGGGCCAATTTACGTTATCAACTCAGTTGATAATACTAATGTTGTCTTTGCCAAGATACACGAGGAGATGGGACAATTTGTTTTCTCATTCTTTTGTCTTCTAGAATAGAGATGAATTCCAATGTACTTTTTCCAATGTGGTAAGTGTTTTATCCCGAGTCGAAGTTATGTCCATGTAGGTGCACTTGATATGGTCGAAACGTATCACAAGTTACACGCAGCCCGGCGATAGAGACCCTAATATGCAAGATGGCCGACAAAACATCCTTGACGAACAAATTGGGAGAAACTAAAAAAAAAAATGAGTGAAAGGGAAACGAAATGGTTTTTAAATGTTCATTCTGAGCACCCTTCCAGCATTCAATTGAGTTATCAAATTTGCTCCGCTGGTCGGTCTGCTATGTTCAAACCCTCAGTGGATACATTAATAGAATTTGTGGTAATGTGGTAATTTTTCATCTCAAATCCTCCCCTCTCCAGGTAGTTTTCTCCCTCTTTACTGGAAAGTAAGGAAATAACTTATTGACTCTGGTGTTCATGGCATTTTGTTCTTACTATTTCGCAGGTAGTTCAGGTGTTTAATTACTTTGTGTTAATCACAGCATCAGGGCATCTTCTAAAGGAACTCATTTCTTTATACCATAAGGTTAGTAAATCTTGGTCAACACCCATGAGTATTTTGCCATATTCATCTAGGAATTCTGAACCATGTGATGCTAGTTTAGATCAGGTAAGACTCTTACGGGAAAAAATTTGTATTATGGAAAATGTGTAAAGATAATTTAAGCTATATCTGTACTCTTAATAATAAATGAAACGTTCTACGGAGTTTAGTTAGACCTAATGGATTACACAGGGGGGGACAATCATGTGCCCCTTTTGTATCTGCATGAGAATATTGACAATTTACTTTTCTAAAACAATCCGACAACCCCCCCTAAATTTCAACAAGACGCTGTTACGGGAATAGTTTATCATAAAAAAAAATCTGCCAAAGCCTCAAATTTTTTTAAAATTTTTCTTGACAGCGGCTGTCATACCTGGAAGATGTCAGTAACTTCTTGGAATGGGTTTGTTATATAGCATCAATACTGTACGTCATACCACCCTGTGACTGTAAAGCTGGTTTTAAAAGAGAAGTTGGCGCGGTTGCTCTATTCTTTGGTTGGATGAATCTTATCTTATACTTTAGAAGGTAAGTTCCAAAAGGAATGTTTAAAATAAAGATCTCAAGATTTCCGCTGGAAGCTATTTCCTATCGAGTTCGATTTCGGTCATGTCGCAATAAAATGAAAGGAAGTTAACTTTATGCTCTCATTTAACTTGCTTACGATTCTTCTCCTGAAATGCATGGCTCAGTAAGGCCACTGATGACACGTTAGAACTTCTGATCACTAATCAGTTCGTTCCGTTTTTTTCATTCTTAGACTGTCTTCCTACGGTCAATATGTCATCATGTTGTCAACGATGTTTGTTACATTATTAAAGGTTTGTTTCAAAATACGTCAAAATACTGGTTTCAGTTATGTCTTATTTCCCTAAAGTTAAGTCATAAAAAACACTTTCATCATACTGGATCCTCTACACTGAGTTTTTTCTTGTTACAGATATGTCCATTAATTCTTCTTAAAGAGGAAAAAAACATATGATTGCTTGACCAAAGGTGTTGTGGTTGATCTGAGGAAAATTGGCAAAGAAAAGCCTCTATCACTTTTACGTTCCTAGGGAGCTCTTCCTCTTTCGTAGGCTAAAATTCTCTAGAAACGACCCAGTCGACAGACACATTGCAATCAAGGTCTGTTGTTTTCTTCGCGTTGGCATGGTCACGTTTTTCATGTTTGTCGAGCCTTATTTTTCCATAATTTTTTGCAGGTTCTGCTTCTTTGGATTTTGTTTATAATGGCATTTGGGACAACATTTTTATTGGTCATGAATGATGTAAGTTTATTACATAATCTAGGAATCATAGAAGAAACAAATAAAGTGAGGGATTTTTATGGCTTACTCCCTTTTGTTGTAGAAGGATTTTTATTACAGTTTTGAGAAGAAAAAAATAACATTATCACTTCTAAAGCAGCTGAACAGACAGAAGAGGCCATACACATGACAATTTTTGTAGAAGTAAATATACACACTCAATGCTTCCTTCTCTTCCACACTGATTTTCAGCAAAATTATCTATCAATGATAATTTGGCTTTATCAACTTGATAATTATATGTAAATTAGCCACCGTAAAGGATTTCCGTAAGCTGACGTTTTTAGCTGTTAGTCATTTTCTCTGACGAAAGGCCAGTACTGGAAAAGTCAGCTTTAGGAACTGTTTACGGCGGCCAATTTTTATTATCAACTCTGTCGATAAAACCAATTTATCTTGTTAAACTCCCTCATCGACGCATTACCACAGTTTCTTTGGAAACTTGCCCCCTTTATTCATATATGACACAAGTTTTGTTTAAACTATTCCACAGCCTCCATTTGATAAGTTTGGTACTTCAATGATGACGATGTTTGTGATGACTTTGGGAGAGATGAATTACCATGAAAACTTTCTTCCGTGGGATAATCTGGCCTTCTCGACCCTCACCAATATTTTGTTTATCGTGCTTGTTCTTGGAATGCCTATCATAATGATGAACATGCTGGTGAGGCTAATCACTGAGAATATTTCAGATCCTTAATGTGTTATGATAATTCAGGAATGAGATGAAACGAGGTATCACACAAGATAAAGAGTTAATGACTCTTCGCATAGCGACATTGCATGATTTCACCTGGGAGGAAGACGACAGGAGGGGGGGGGGGGGGGTAAGACGACACCCCTCATATTTTTCCCTTTTTTTACCCTGATGAAGAAAGTTGCAAATAAGAAAATTCCTCCTTTTGTAACCCTATTTACGAGTGCTTCATTTCTTTTTAAATCAATAATAACCCCCATATATATAATTACTGGTCAGGAGTAAAAATTTGCACTTTGGTGGGGAAAGATGGGAAAAATGGCAGAGATCCAGATCTTGTGAGCAGTACATTCTATTTCATGCCTGTTACGTGATTTACACCGTTATCGTTTTCATAAATTTTGCTTAATTTCTACTTTTTCAGGTTGGTCTGGCTGTTGGTGATATTGACAAAATCCAGGAGAATGCGCTTATGGATCGTTATGTCCTTCAAGTAAGGAAAAGATAATTTTTGAAAGATAAATCATGTTGAAGAATATTCTCGTAGTAGCCCTGTTTCGGGTGCATGTTAGCTTAAGTGATGAAATTAGAAGAATGTACATTTTGTTTTTCAATTCCCAGGTTCGGCTGCTTGTGGACATCGAAAATTCTCTCCCAGAGTTTATCATGAAACGTGTGCAAGTTTACTCGTACAGCGAGTTTCCAAACCATCCTAAGACACTTAAACAAAAGGTTGGTACTAAAATTTAAATATGAAAGTCTCTTTAAGGTAAATCAAATGAGGAAAAATTTCACTCTTATTCTTAGACTTTTGATGCGTTAAAAATTTTGTCCATTCTTACATTTTTCAGTTGATCGATGGCCTCGTTGGTTTTGATAAACCTCAAGTTAGTATCGAGGAAGAAGCTAATGAGATGTCACCGGAAATGGTAAAAGTTCTGGAGAGAATACAAAAACAAGAAGAAAAGTAAGGAGCTTCTGCGACGTGAGGCACTTATTACGTTGAAAGGGAATAACTGATATTATCATATGACTTGTACGACCCCGCGCGAGCGTGGGCCGCCAGTCCGGAAAAAGATGTCTGGTTTTGCACTCCCACAGCTCTTTTAAATTTTCCCAGAACGTGAAATTAAAATGGAGGAAGGAGGCCTAGGAGAAAAAAAAGATGAGAAAACGAGTCGGGCTTTTCGATGAATTATGAGTTTCTAGTTCTGAATCAAAGAAAAAAATACGACTCAAAGTTACCTAAAGTATAATTTTTTAATAGTTGTCCAGCGCTCGCCAAAGTGGTTATATGTACAATGCCTATTGACATAGTTTAGTTGGGTAAGACGACAAATTATTTGGCTCAAATTTATACAGCACGGTTCTCGTTGCGCTCGGTTCGTACGTTATGACCTTCCCATCCGGCTCTTCCAGTCAGTCAATAAAAACTCATCATCCCGACAGACGTTAAACCTTGAATAATCCTTTACTGATTGTGAGAACGACAAAAATGGTACTAGAGAAAAGAAAGGCTATTTTGTGCATCTGTATCTCCAGTGGAAAGGAAAGTGATTTTTCGGGTATTTAGTTGCACAGCTTAAACAGTAAGAAAGCATTTGATAAATAATTTTGTTAAAAATAGTTTGGTCTGTTTTTTTTCTCCAGAATGCAAAAGATGTACGAAATGATGAAAGAGCAGTCAGATTTGTTGAAAGAAATGCAAAGCAGAAAGATAGAAGTGGAACAGAAAAAGAAAGAAGAAACAAAGACGTCCAGTAAAATTGGTTTATTTGGATTTTCATAAACAAGCCTCTAAAATCAGTTTCACTGTACATACTTTACATACTTTATCTAAATATAGTTTCCAAATTCCAGGATGCCTATATTCTGAGCGTAATTATACAATTTTTGAAAGGGAAGTATTGCAGGTGCCCCCAATTTAGGTTTTTTTTAGGAGCAAGGCCACACACTCTTTGTCAGAGTTGCGCAGGTTCTTAAACGTCTTCTGCTAACCGGTTTAGAGAAGACACATGAGACGGAGCAATACAGTTTTATATAGTTTATCATAAAGTTACTGACAAATATCTTAAAGCAGCCAGAGGCTGTAATTGTCAGAGTCCAAAATTTCTACCTCACTCGAGAACATAACCAGGGGCAAGTTATGTCGGCTAAATATATCTTTGAATTAATTTGTCAACCGCAAGGTCACGTTGCTTTAGGGAATCGGTGGTTCCGCTTAGGAGAGTATGCTTAAGTCAGCCATGAGAAGCTATGAAATAAACGAACAATTGAAATGTACTCGACCGAGGTGTATCGTACAGGGTTTTAAATATTTAGAGTTCAAAAGAAGTTTGTATTTGTAATAGAAAGCATGATAGTGAAAAACTTTGAGAAGCAGATGTATGTTAAACAAAGACGATGCCAGGTCACGTGACTGAATGTTTTTGTGAGCGTAAGTGATTTTGTTTATAATTGTTCTGCTGAACAATTCTTGTAACAGTTGCCCTAGAGAACGAACCACAACTGAATACTGGGGTTTTGAAATTCACGCTACGACACTATGCTGGTAACCACAGTCGAAAAAAGTTCAGCGTAAAAGGCAAGTGTAGTAACTAGCCTATCAGATATTTGTGTGTGTGTTTTTGTTATAAGCGGGGATTATTGACACGTTTTCGACCGGTTTAATGCTTCACCACAAGAGACATGCCTAGAGTGACTCGAGGTGCAATTAGGGAGTACGAAATTTTTTTTTGTACTGAGCTCTAACGTTGAAACCTGGTTCTTTTGTGAAGGTGGAGAAGCTTTCCTTCATTTTATTCTGTCTTTGCCGTTTTATGAGCTAGGTTTGGTAGTTAAGACCTAAATCAAGATGTAAGAAAGAAAGACGCAAGACTCTGTTTGGCGAGTTGTAATTGTACAACGAATCCGGCATCCCTCTGAGAAAAGGAAAGAAAATTAAATTGCTTTCTCAGCCGTCAAATTAAAGAGGCTTCCGATATTAAAGCGCGCAATGTTTCGGCTGCGTACTATTATCTTACAGTATTTTGACTTTGTGGAGTCTAACTAGAGAGCTTCATTGGTCGAGGATGAAATTAACCTTTTGGTAAATAAATTTATTCTTCGATATGCACTGTGGAGACGTTTGACTCTGGAACGTGGAAATTATGCCAGAACCAGTATTCTTGTCCAATTCAAGTCTTTATGTTTTTCTTAGAGGCGTTTGAGACAAGAAACTGGTGGAATGTGCTCTGTATTGTTCATGAATTTTCAGAAGATTCTAGTCGAACACGCGTGTTGACAATAAATGTATTTGGTAATTAAGCTCCATTGACTGGAACCCTATTGTTTATGTATCATTTCAAAGTAGTTCCTACACGAAATAGAACCCCGTTTAAATCAGTTGACAGTAGCAATGAAAAACTTGCTAAACATGCGAGACAGGGTTCGAAAAATGCGTAAATCAATCGCTTTCGGATAGTATTGATTACACTCTACAGACTTTCCTCGTGTTCCTCTGCTATCTCGCTTATGTCTTGGAAACTGAGGCTTGATTTTACCGTTATGGTTGGATTTAATAGAAGTGCTGAAAACAGTGAATTTGTAGTCTGACTACTCACACGCCGGCTTATAAATCAACTTCATGATATTGAAAGCCAAATGATAGCCGTTTTTTCGGTGAGCCAACGTTAGGGTAATAGGAGCAGTATTTAGGTTTAACTAACGTCTAACTTTATTAGTTTATACTTTAGGGCAGAAGTTTCCTACTGCTTTCCTTTCAGTTTTCTTGTTTCACTTCAAAAAATGAATACAACAGAGTTGCCCGCTAGCGATTAGTCTGAATATTCGAGAAGCCAATCTGCATATTTGATCTGCATATTTAAATGCGTCATAGCTATTCGATGTGACTGGCTACAAAAGTAGGCAAAATTGAAAAAGAAAGTTATTGTTTTTAGACGGAAAGCTCTCTGGCTGTGGAAATATTTGTTTTTGTGTTCACACTTTGTTGCAATTAAAAGTTTAGGTCCATAACACCTACTAATAGCTCAAAACAAAAGGAGTCTTTCGACTTCCCTAGTAATCATCTCTGTCAACTATGGCTGTAAAAGGGAACCAAAGAGTTTTTAAGCATTTTGATCACCGTTTGCGTACAGAAGACTGAGTGGCCTCACGAAATACTAGATAATGAAATCTGAGTAAACGTCAACTGGAATTTCAGATCTTATAATACAGTAAAGATTTTTTCCTCTCTCGACTGCGCAAAAACAAAGAAGCGGTTAACCGTGTTATCAAAAATGCCTCCCTTTGTCACGATTTACTTGCTTAAACGATCTTATTTTCATATTGTTTTGTCCACAGCTTTGTTACAACTTGTTAATCATTCATTGATAAGGGCGCTCTAACTAGTCAAAAATCTATCATCTATTGTATGTTTACTGTTTTATTTGCTGAATATTGTCAAATGCTTTAAAGATAATCTTTCAGAGGCAGAGGAGAACATTTTGTTTCAGAGCACACCTGTAATAACCCATGGAAGATGTTGAAAAACGGGCCTCAAGTGAGAAATCGTGATTTAGAAATTGTTTTTTCTTTCTTACGTGTTCCACTTCAAAAGCCGATAGCAGGGAGGGGTAATATTTTGCCTGAGGGAGCCCCTCAATGCCCTTTTGCTGCTCAAAATAGAATACCTGACACGCTCCATGGTTTTTTTTTGCATGATTAGTAAACAGTACGGACTTAATGAAGAAGATAAAGTGAATATTAGTTGTGATCTTGAAAAATGAGAGGTAAACATTTCAAGATGTTTGGACCGTCACCGGGCTTTTCGCTGGTCCGCTCTGACGAAAGGCTAACGCTCGAAACGCCAGCTTCAAAAACTTTTAAGTGTCGGCAATTTACACCGCAAACTCAGTTGATGAAACCAAAATATTTTGTAATACCCACTCCGACAATGCATCACACAAGTTATTAAGAAACTTGCTCCTCCTAGATATAACCCCAAGCTGATTTGGTTCTTTTGTTTCAATATTGCGCAATTCAAACAAACCTTTTTAACTCACTTACCACGTGACTTTGATGCATAAGTTAGAGAGTAAATAGTATTTGAATTGACGCCTGATCAACCAAACGTTTTTCATGGATTTGATAAAAGGTTATACTTTTTATGCATTCGAAAATTGCGCAGTTCTAAGCTCTCTTATTCATTATGAAGTGAATTTCTCTCTCTCAACCAAATGAATTTCTTGGCGTTTTTTGCAAGAAACAATTTCAGGACACATTCTGTTTTTCATTTAATGGCAAAGAAACTTTCGCTGAAAAATTCGGTGGGCTTCTTCCTGCACCATTTATTGTTTTTTGGAAAGATCGGAAAAAAGTACAGATGAAATAACAATCTACCATTCCGACATTAAAATGATTTTTCCAACAGTTGATACATCTACAATATTTCACAGTAACAACATAAAAACGAACACCCATTCAGTGGTCTGTTTCTGAAATAAAACTAACCGTTACGACGAGGCTTGAACCGAGTAAGAATTGCTAGTAGTGACCAGAGAACATTCCTAAAGGAGTTACAACATGGTTTTAATGGTAGCTCTGTTCATTTTCAATCAACATAAATTATCAACTTCAATCTAGCTGAACATCAGTTTTGGTTCGGAAGTGTAGCAGCTTTGTTTTAGAGATGAAGATTTCTCAAAATTTATTAGCAGAGTGACATGCGCCTTTAAGCGAACTAAAATCGTAGTTCGCATACAATTTGAATGAGCTTGGGTCTTCTTAATTTTTACTGAAAATAAAACTCGCTCAACTCTCTGTTTACCTATGTGTGTCCTTTGTTCTTTTCACCTCCCCATTTTTAAGTTTTTCGTCATCTCTAAGTCATTGGATCGTGATCAAGGGAAAACAATGCATCTGGACAGGTTTCCAAGTGCAGTTGTCGTAATTTAAAATAATCAATCAGATTTGATCTAAGAACTTTTTCACCCGGAAAAGAAAAATTATTTTTCTCTGTGAAATGATCGAGGACAGTGACTTAGGCTCAGCAAATTCCCTACGGTCTGTAAATATAGAAGTACGGCTTGAGGAAGATATTGACAAATCTGAAAGGTATAAACTATAAATGATGCAGTTGAATGGTCCATATACAAGGAGTCAAAATCAGTGCTTTTGACCGGGTTTAAAACAACAGATTCAAAAGGTGGAAAAAAACTACAGATATTTTTAAGTGTAAAGCAATTTTGTTGTCACGATTAGCTAGTTTTAGTTACCAGAACTCTTTTACGAACGTAACATCATCCATGTTTAATGCTTTTTCCGATCGATAACGACACAGAAATAAACCCAGAAATATGATCTCGTATGCCGGGTAAAGAAGAGCGATCGGAGAAACGTTTGTAAATGACTTGAAAAAGTCTGCTTCGAGAGTTCATCCTAAGGAGTTCATCTAAAAGAACCCTCCCCTGAAGTTACTTGCGCAATCTTTGCAAAAGACTGAAACAAGTGTTTAAAAGATTTTTGGATGTCTACGAGGAGCCAAATAAATAGAAAAAGATTGGAATGCCTATAACATGATATGTCTTGCATCCATGACCCGGTTTCATTTCAACTGATTTAGCACTCGAGTGTTGTATGTAAAGTGTTGTATTGTAAACTGTAACTACGTGTAAAACCAAACGAGTAGAGTTTGGCATTAAAGGTTTTAATAAAGATAGGAACCGAGCCTGACCTGGGTAGAGTATCAAGCAACGCCCTGGGAAAAATACAGAAGCTGAGAGGTTAGAACGCTGGCACGCAACCTTTTTAAAATATAGACATTTGAGAATTGACGCTTGGGAACAAGGTAACGGCCAAGAACTTGAGATTTTTCCTGACAACGTTTTACTCTTAATTTTTTTTTCATGGTTTAGCCTTTTAAATAGTAAGTCTCAAGCAGTCGGACAGTCCGCCTCATTTTCATCATGACAGAAAGAAAGAAGGTTTCGTTTGGTGGGAGCTCCACCTCAGAAGACGCAGATGAAAACTCATCGGTTTTTTCCAAAGAGGGAGTCACAAATGTGAGGACAAGAAACCGAAAAAAATCCCGTGCTCTTAGTAGACTGTCAATGAGCTCAGTAAGAAGTAAAGAAGAGGGAACAGAGGCTAAATCGCGCGTGGAATCAGTGGTAAGTGTATAAAAACATGGAATAAACATTTGCATTCATGAAGAATAAGTTACTTATCATATGACCCGTGCGGCCCCCTTGTGCGCAATCCCATAAAGCTGACGTGTGCAGGGCCCGACGGGTTGACATGAGCCGATCCGAAAAATGATGTCCGGCCCTGCACTCACATGGCTTTTTGCCAAAATTTGAAGGAAAAATGAATAGATTAAAAAGAAGTGTTTTCGATGCATTTTACCCGTGGGTATCGCTTAATTCCTATGATAGGTTTGTTGATTTATGTGAACCATATCATGCGCTATTGTTGAAGAATTACTCACTTTGCTGTTCCTAGAAAAAAGACAACAAACTTCATCAACTAATCCTGGCTGGGAACGAAGAAGAAGCAAACAGGATTATCGCCAAAGGAAATGGTAACTACAGTGTTGGAAAATGATGAGAACACAAGGTTTTTCCATGTCTCACATGCATGGCCTTCATTTGAGTGGTAAATAAGCCGCTCACTAACGCTGATTTAACAGTTTCCTGTTTTAATCTCCGCGACCAAATCAAAGTTTACTGGTGAAAATTTGGGTTTAGGTGGCTCGGTGCTCCCTTTACAGGACGTCTTGAGTTATGATAGTTACTAATTAATCCAGAAAGCGGAAATATAACTTATTTTTCATTACCTCGTGAAGCACGTAATGATAGCGGCGCCTGTAGCAAGTTATTCTGTTGCCATATGGATTTGTAGCAAATGGGGAGTTTTTGGACGGTATTGAAAAGTTTGCATTCAACTGACGTGGATCAGTTTTTTAAAGCAAGAGCCCCTGGATACAATCATGAAAGATTGTGAAGTGGTGTAAGTCATTCGAGGTCGTTTTACTTTTACATCAGATATTGTAGATATTGGTGGTGATTCCTACGTGTTTATCAGATATATCTACAAATTGGCAACAGGGATTTCTTCCTTTTTCTTATCGAAAATTCTTTTTATAGGTCTATTTATTCAAATGAACGTTTGCAGTAATAATTTCACTAACAAACCCCTGTTGATTTCCCTTCGTTTCCTACTTTTTCAAGATACAAACCGTCAAGATAGCTCGGGTAAGACTCCTCTCCACACGGCCATCTTAGCAAAACAGTTCAGCATTGTTGAAATGTTACTGGAGCATAACGCTGACGTCAGTTTAAAAGATGATGCGGGCGACACAGTGTTGCATACTGCCATACGAGTTGGAAGTGAGAGACTGGTGCAGGTTAGAATTAGGATTCGTTTATTTCATTTTAATGGTTGACGTAAGTTTGTTCAGGTTGGTAGGTACATATTTTTAGGAAAATTCCGTGCAAAAAAAAAAAAGAAAAGAAAAAAGCACATACACATATTTACATGCAGTTTGAGTGTGAATCTTAACAACTTTCAGTAATTTTTGAAATCTTTTCTGCTAGGCAAATGCGAAGTTTTTAACAAGGTGCCTTTTCTGTGGTTGACGAAGATTGTTTCTGAAACTTAGTAAATGTGAAGCAAATCGAATTTTTCTTTTTCTTCCGAAGACTCTCATCGAACGTGGCAGATGCAATGTTTCTGCTCTGGGGCGAAACTCGGCTACTCCTCTTCATCTTGCCGCTGAGATGGACAACGCCAGTATCTGCAAGATTCTGGTAAGTTGCACTCTTGGCTGCAAAGAATGGTTCAACTCGTGGGGTCCACATGTTCCTCTATCCAGTCCGGGCTCGAGATTTGAAATTTCGAGAATGCAAATTTCACCCTTTTTTTCGTCTCTTTGTCCTTTATCCCGTGCAGATACGGGTCTTGGCTCTTCCTCTATAAAGATGACCTGGCAGAGGCTTTCACAAGTTCAGTAAGCATCTGCATATACCCAAGACGGGACTATACAAGAAAAGTACTCTATGCTATCCAGCTTATTCGGAACTTACGTATCTCCCCTTTACTTGTTTATCCAGGTAGAGTACCACGCCTCATTGTCGCCTTTGGATGCTGAGCAGATGACACCTGTTGCTCGCGCTGTTGAAAGAGGAGCTCAAAAGTCGACCCAATATTTGTTACAAAAAGGCAAGTTCTGCAGATTCCATTTCAAACCCCTAAAAGTGATGTCTTTAATGGGTGTTGTCCACTCTCTAATGCAAGTCATCGGGTCCGAATCTCTAACTCGAGTTCACTAAATGCCTTTAAAATTGAATGTGGAATATCAAAGCCAAATGAATCACAACAGCCAATCACAACATACGGAAAATCAACATACTTTATTGACTTTCCCCAAGGGGGCTTTTCAAAGACAATGTTATAAAAATAATCCTATTACAATTAAAAAATCCTATTTACAATTAAAGATGTTTTAAAATCTGAATGTTCTAAAAGAAAAATAAAAGCATACAAATATATAAAATTACAACTCTTTGAGTAATTTGGTCCTTAAACGTTTTTTAAAAACCTTAACGGAGTTGCACAGTTTAAAGGAATTATCCAAAGAGTTCCATAAGTTTACAGTTCTATAGAAAAATGTTCTCTGACCGCTAGCTGTTCTAAAGAATGGAATTTGCAAAAGCTGCGAATTTCTAGTGCTACGTCGACTAACCTCGGCTCGCTTTATGAATTTTGATGAGAGGTAATCTGGAGCCTGACCAGTCATGCATCTGAAGGCCATAGTGGCGTTCCGGTAGTAAAGCTGGCTTTGAACTGAAAGCCAATTTAGTGCCTTGCGAATTGGTGTAACGTGGTCAAATTTACGCGCACCGCTAACAATGCGGCATGCGAAGTTCTGCACCGCCTGTAACTTGTCAACATTACATTTTGAGGTATTTGACCAAACATTGGAACAATAAAATAACCTGCTGAAAACTAAGGAATTAATAATCATCAAAAGTGTACGTTTGTCGAAAACATGCTTGATCCGGTTTATTTGGCCGAGGCGGGACATGCACGAGGAAGCGGTCTTAATTATGTGTTCATCGTAAGTTAAATTAGAATCCAAAATCACACCAAGGTCTTTGGCGGTGTCTGCGGGGACGATGTCCTCACCCATAATGGAAAGGGAGCGAAATTGCAATTTTGCACGCATCTGCCTGCTGCCAAATATCATCAGCTTGGTTTTGCCAGGGTTAAGTAACAATTGGTTGTTGGAACACCATTCTCCTATTTTAAACAAGTCGTCTTCCAAATCAGCAATTGCATCCAGGTTGTCTTTAAGTTCGAAGGAAGTGATGAGTTTCGTATCATCTACATAACTCTGAGTGCTGCATTTCTGTGGGATCGATGGAAGATCGTTCGTATATATGCTAAATAGTAGTGGGCCTAAGATACTTCCTTGAGGGACGCCGTTGGTCACGGACAAAGGCTCAGATAGCGTTGAATGGATTCGTACTACTTGTGTCCTGTTGCTTAGGTAACTACGAAACCATTGGAGAGCGTCTCTGGAAATTCCGACATCTTGCAATTTTAAAATTAACGTGTCGTGATTGACGCTATCGAAAGCTTTGCTCATATCTAATAGAACAACTGCCGTTAACTTCTTTTTGTCAATCGCGTTAAGAATTGTGTCAGTTGTTTCAATCACAGACGTTTCACACGAATGCCATCTCTTGTTACCGCTTTGGCTCTTTGATAGGGTGTCATTCGATTGCAGATACGAGGTGAGCTGATTATGTACTACCCTTTCGCAAACCTTTGATAAGACTGGTGTAAGTGAGATGGGTCTATTATTGTTTGCCTGTTCCTGGTCGCCCTCTTTTTTTGGGATTGGTGTAACCACAGCTGTCTTCCATTTTGATGGAAAAATACAGTTTTGAAAGGATGCATTAACGATAGACGTTATTGGGTGAACAATTGGATTAAGACAATCCTTGATGACACGAATCGGGATTTTGTCTATCCCTGGGGCCTTGTTTGAAGGCATCGCTGCTATTATACGTTCTATTTGTTTATAATCAATGGTACTCAGTGTGAACTGGTCAGAGAGAGCGTATTGTCTCGGTACAAAATAATTCTGATTAAGTGTTAGGTTGCATTCATTAGCCAGGGACGTAATTTTGTCAACAGTGCTCTGACCAACAGATACGAAAAACTGATTAAATTCGTCTGCAACAGCTTTGTCGCTCTTACTGTATGTTCGCTGAGATGTAGATTTGCAGGGGATGCACTGGCGAATTGCTTTCCAGATATTATTGGTGTTATTTGGATTCCTCTGGATTTGTTGGGCCACAAATTCCTGTTCAGCAATTCTGATTTCCCTCTTTACTTCCTGTCTGAAATATCTGTAGGCAGTCCAAGATAGCGGATCATTTGTTTTCTTTGCTTTCTTACGCCAATCATCCCTGGTCTTCATCAATCCCCGGATGTTGTCTGTTACGCATGGATTTGGTTTACAGCGTGCTTTGAAGGTTTTAATTGGAGCATGGCGGTCGAGTATCTCAGTAAATAGCGAATCGAGTGCATAAAGTTTGTCCTCGACATCGTCGAAAACATCAACTATGGACCACGGTGCCAGTGATACGTCGTTGCTAAAATCAACAGGACTGTAGTGTTTAAAACTTCTGGTTGTAATATAGACGGGTTTGGCGCGCGCTTTCTTCAATTTTAAGGTGAATCACGAGGAACCAATGAGAACTCAAAAGCAAAACGAGTGAAGCGCGGAAAAACGCTAGTGAATAAGACGCGATTGAATTAAATTTTGAATCTGATTTAAGGAGGAGAGGCATGCTCTAGTTTTCTGGTCAAACAGAGCGAAATAAAGCAAAATCAATGCAATCACGGATTACTTTCGACACTCGATTGAAAATGTCCCTATAAATGCAAAGTGTGCCAATGGTTTGGGCAATTCTTCGTAACAGTTCTTTATTTATTCAAAGTTAGGTGCTGGATTTGAAACATGCCTTTCCCTTAGACGGTGTGAAATTTCTATAAGCTACACCTGCATGTACTTAACTCATATAAAAGTTGCTACTGAATGATTTAGTTTTGTCGTATATACATTGTCAAGGGAATATAATTATAATTGATAGCACACTTTTCAATTTACCCATAGCAATTTGGGTTTTGATTACACCTCGGAAGATTTGAATCGATATTTTCTTACCATGCTTTTTATTTCTGATTTACGTCACTGATAAACGAAACTGATTCAATGAGTTTGCCTACCTCTGTCTGTTAATGTCATCAGTCAAGCCCCACTTTATTATTTTGACTGAGAGCTCCACGTGGCAGGTTTGGCAAACAATAATAAGAGGGCTGCAAACATCATACTAACAAAAGCGCACTTTGCTTCGCACCACAGCGCAAGAAGAGACAGGTTCTGTAGAGAATTTCAAATATAACGTTGACATGGACGGCAGCTCTCTTCTTCACTTGGCTGTAAACAGTGGAATTTTAGGGGTAAGAATAATATGTCGCTGAGCTGTGATAGCTTCCTTGTTTGTCAAAGACATTCTTTATCATCAATTCTATTATGTTATGTGAATCTCACTAATGCAGGGTATGTTCGTTTTGTCATAGGTTGTGGAAACATGTGTCCAGTATGGAGTTCGCATCAGACAACCAAGGGTATAGGACTTAACTTCACAATAGTTTTCAGGTTTTATTTAGTAAAAAGACTTTGGTGGCAATCAAGATAGTCGAAACAGGGACATGTGAAATGTTAATTTTAGAATAGCAACATTCTACATAAAGCGGTCAATTTAAGGGAAATGTTGTATGTCCTTCTCATGCCTTGACGTAGAATTTATTGTTCAATTATTTCTTTTAAACCAATCTACATCGATCACTGAAAAATACCAAAGCAGTTTAAACTTTTAATTCGTTATACAAAATGCTTCTTGCATAGAATTAAGCTAAGTTGTCGGGTTTAACATGTAGTTAGACTTCATAGCAACATTCCAATAGCCACGGTTTTTTATTTCCATCTTATATTTGCTTTACTTATCCCACAGAGAGAAGATAAAATAACAGCATTTCACATGGCATGCGAACAGGGATCCTTGCCGATAGTGGAGTACCTCGTCAGCAAAGACCCCGCTCTGTGTAGAATAACTATTGTGGACTGCAAGGGGAGGACGCCGCTTCACATGGCTGCTGGTAAAAACCACGCTGAGATCGTAGAGTTCTTGTTGGAGAATGTACGTATCATTAGCTCGTCGGTAGATTAAAGATGATGCAGTCTTAGGGTCAAAGATCTTGACAATATTGTCAGTCAAATTATTTCGTCGCCCTGGTCCAGTAAATGTTTAAGGATTAGTAAGGAACCGCTCAAGTCAAAGAGATGACCTTAAATCATGTAATAAGGCTATGGAAAGGAGGACATAGAGAACTCGCGAAAAAAAAACACCGACACTAAGACTTTTATTTGCAATTGTGACATTTGCTGCGTCTTGAGATTCCTAAGACTAATATAACCTTTAGTAAATGCCATTTATGGTAGTTTTGAACCTTGTTCATTGAACTTGCCGCCTACTTGTATCGTAATAAACTTCCAGACCCCATTTATGTTTATCTTAGAAAACCGGTTTGAGTAATTGGGAGTTAAAGAACAAGGGCATCCTTAATCGACGTCAAGGGTTTTTGTGAACCGCACCTTCTGGTTTTGCGTTTGAGGCCAGGTTACTGAGTTGTTTTCAAAGTAACGGCGTCCGTGATCAAAGTTTTAGCGCCTTTGAAGACAAATTTCGTATTGTTACGTCACTCTTTGGAATCTCAACCACGGCAATCAGTGAATCATATGATTGCACGTTTTAGGGGCAGTGATTAAAATGGTTTTTATGGTTTCTTAAGCACAAATTTCGTCTGTGCACATTGGCGAGAGTTAACACCATTCTTCAATGTCTACTCTGGCTCAGGTTCATGTAATAGTTTCCACTTAGCTAGCTTGAAAAGGTCACTCGGCAAAACGAGTGATACTGTCAATATTCTAGGAGGCTTATCAACGCATACCCTGACCAGTTATGACGTATTATCGGCTCTGAAGCATGTGCTTTCACATTTAAGTTACAAGTTCCAAAATATTTTCGGAATTATACCCAGTCTGCACAATTTCGCTTGCTTTAGGGTCTTCCTCCTTTGGTTTGTTCCCTTGAAAGCGTGAAAAATTTCGTCAGTGAGACCAGTGAGTTTGTGCGTCAAAGATGTTCTCTAAAAAACAACACTAAGATCTTTTATGCAGTGGCTTGTCAATTACTTATTTGATACAATTCCTTATTTAGGGAGCAGCTCTTGACCCAAAGGATGATGAGCGGCGTTCACCGTTGTTCCGGGCGGCTAATTATGGGGCACACAGTGTAGTGAAGCTTCTTATGGATCACGGAGCTGACGTCACTGTACGGGACATAATGCTTAAGTCTGTGGTCCACGCTGCTGTGGGGGATGTGAAATCTATGGAAGCTTTGTTACAGGTAAGGGTTGCCACTCTATTAAATGTAGGTTTTAATCATATTTGGTTCTGACTTGTTGTTGGGGGATTTCGACCCCTTTTGCCTGTTTTTGCTTTTGGCTGTTGATCACCATGGTGGTTGTAGAAAGCTTTTATGCCTTATCACTTAGATAACTGCGAGTCAGGCTTCAGACTATGATAAGTTAGGTTCAACTGAAACCAGTCAACTAGGAGTTAAGGCTCCGCTATTTCCCAGTGAGAGAAAAGGTTGACATTGTGCTTTCATTCGGCCCCCAATGAATTAAATTTCTCCTTATCTCGATTTAAGGCCGCGTCCTTCGGTTTTGTCTGTGTCATGCAGAGCAGTTTTTGTCAGGATGTATTGGATCTTAATATCGTGCATCATATTTGTTTGTCGAGGATGGTTTAAAGGGACCTTTGAAATTTCCACCTTGAAGTCTCCCCCCTCATCGGAGTAGTTATTGTACATTAGATTAAAACAGCGTGGGGAGAATTCTCTTGTGAGATATCTTTATAAGTTTAATTTGTTTCCTGTAAATCAGTTATGGAAATTTTCTATTCACAGAGTCCAATAGCTGCTGCACTTATCACAGAGAAAGACGATGATGGTTTTTCACCAGTTCATTATGCAGCAAAATCAGGGGACTTGAAGGTTCGATGTTCACATGCTTTAGCATCTTGAAAACATTTAAAATGTATAATTAACAATAAAAAAGAATGAAGGGGGTAAGTTTCTAAAGAAACTGTGGTGGTGCTGCTGCTTCCTCGGTGGGAGAGTGTAACAAGGTAATTTAGTATTATCAACTGATTTGGTAACGTAAATTGACCACCGTAAAGAATTTAAAAGCTGGCGCTTCGACCGACGAAACGTTAGCTTTTGAATTCTTTAAGGTGGCCAATTAACACTAAAAAAGGTTTAGCAAGTTAAGTTAGAGGTATTTTTATTCAATTCTTTAACAGAATATCAAGTTGTTTGCAACCAAAAACCGAGCATCTTCCAGTGTTTTATCTAATAGCTTGGACACTCCAATCCACGTGGCTTCCAGGTATGATTTGAATTAATTTATGGCTTAAAAAGGATGTTTTCGGTTTGGAAAAATAAATTTTAAAAAAAATTCTTAAAAGGGGACTCAGTCATGTTTTAAGTATCTTGAAGTATCTCTTGGAAAATTGCTGAGCCACATTTCGTTTAGCGAGCTGCTTTGTGGGTTTATCAATAAAGGGCAAAATTACTGAGCGCTGATTGGTTGAGAGAGAGGGCATTTTTTCTTAATCGAGGGCATTTTCAGTAATCAAGAGAGGGCATGATTACCTTGTTCAGTTAAAAGCACTTTGTTGTTTTTCTGTTGGCAGAAACGCTCTGTTGAAATGAGCTTTGTTTTCTAGACTTTTGGCAGTGTATCACGACACAGTTTTGGAGAATAAAATTTCATTGAATCGATTGGTCAGTTCAATTTGATTGATGATTTGCCGTAGCGCTAAACAGGCTTCCCAGATAAAAATAGACTGCGCGCGTGATTTTCCTTCGTATAAATTTTGCCCTTTATTGATAAACAAGTAATCCCATGAGACCTCGTACTATTAAGGATTAATTGCACTTGAGTTTTCAAAATTTTCCAAATTGCCCTCGTCGCTTCGCGACTCGGAAAATTTTGGAAAATTTTGAAAACTCTCGTGCAATTAATCCTTAATAGTACTTGGCCTCATGTGATTACATATACAAAACAAGGAGTGTTGTTTGAGCTTTGCATCTTGTTGTTTCAAAGAATATGGAAAAACGGGAATTACGAAGCTCTTCCACCACTGAAAGTTAAGAGCAACACCAATGGTGCATTTCTTTAGCTAGCTAAAGGGGTAAATTGCACAGAAGATATCCAAGGCTTTAACGGCACAATGGAATCTACAATCCCTCATTTCAAAGGATGGAAAAACAACATGAGAAGAAAACAGTTTGCCTCGTAGTGGCTGGTCTGTTCGAAAGGGCCTTGATTTGTCCCCTAAAGCATGATCATTATGTTTTATAATGGCCAACTAAAGAAACTGACAATTCGTATACTTTCGAACGTGCATCTGTCCTGTCATAAGAAATGTGCCACCGAGGTCACGTATGTTTATGCCCCAATCAAGTAGTCTGATCGTCCGGCTGAGAGTAGTCTTGAGAAGGAGAGTTTTTAGTAGTAACGACTGACGTTTTGACAACCTTAGCAGTTATCATCAGAGTTGACTTCGCTGATGACTTCTGCTGAGGATGTTGCATGGTGTGACTAGCCCGAAGCTGTCCTTTTTAGCCTAAAAATTCGTCGATTTGTACGGTACTGTAACGAAGATTACCTTCCTCTCGTTATCCGCTTCAAATCTCTCAGAGCGTGAAAGCTCTGGGAATACCTACAGCTTTGTAACTTAAGGCTTTTTAACGATTATGTTGCGAGCATTTTTTTGTCAAACGCATTCAAGCCTTCTTCTAATTGCTACAATAGATACGGTTGGACAGACGTCGTAGTGGCTCTCATGGACAATCAGAATGTGAAGATCGTTAATCTGGGTAACAGTCAAGGGAAAACGGCCCTACACTATGCTTGCTCAGAAGGACATGACCGCGCAGTGGACACACTCTTAAGACTTGGTGCTTTAGTAGAAAAGTAAGAGACTCATCACCACCTAAACTAAGTAGGATCGCGTTTTTTTTATTCTTGGACAACATAAAAAAATTGCTTGCCACAAGATGTTCTAGTCCAAACATGTCATCCGTTTGTAGGGATCAGAGGTGAATAAACGGTAGAGTAACAGAAGCGACATAAATGCATCCAAACACCATACAAAACACCTGTTGTTGAAAGACAATGCACAGGCGAACAGTTCTAAAGAACCCTCATATCTTATGGACAACATTCAGTAGACTTGACACTAAATTCAGCATGACAGCCCTGATTTCACTTTTCGTTTTAGAGATCAGAATGAGCGGACCCCGCTTCATTTAGCCGCCACCAAAGGTTCCCTCCTCTGCTGTCAAGTCCTTGTCAATAAAAATGACGAATGCATCAACGACGTGGATAGAAGCAAGGTTCTTGATCTTTAAAAAAGCTTTTAAATGAACCTAGTTAGTGAACTCTATAAGCGCCCGCCTGGTTTGATGTTATTTGATGATGTAAGAATTTTACTTTGTTAATTAACCGTTAGCCGACCGGAACCCTAAGGAGTTTGGCTTGAACGCGTTAATATATAGAAAAGAAGGAGATGTGGTTATGCAATGGTTGGAGAGTGGCTACAAAGGTTATCATTACTCAGGCCGGTGTCATTTCGTAGTTCTTTGCCGTAAAACATGCATATTTTACTATTCTCCACCAGCGCATGTAAGTGGCGACCCCTTAGAGAAACTTTTGTCTTTGTGCATAGATATTCCGCAATGGATTGTTGCAACTTGAAAAAATTTAAGGTCTTAAACGCTTGGCCAGGAAGCTGACCTTGAATTGTTTTACTGTCGTTCATTCCTTTTCTTATTTTCATCTTTTTATTTACAGAATACAGCCATGCACTTAGCAGCTATCAACAATCAACCAGAGGTAATGGAATTTTTTCTGTCACATAACAAAGCTTCCATTTTGAGGAATGGAGATAATCAAACCATATTGGACATAGCTGTATCTTTGGAGATGAAAGAAGTTGCGGTGGTAATTGCAAAACACGACAGGTACTGCAATCCTTGGTTTGATGATCCGCCCTTACCTGCTTCATTCTCAAACTCTCATGCATGTGGGAGCATATTATGCAGCATGCAAGTGTACTTTAACATTTGTCTGGTCGGCAAAAAAGAAGGTCCAGTTTAGATCAGTGGAGTGTTTGTCAAAGCATAGAATCTGATGTAAAAATTTGACCTCATGAGAACAAAAAGACGGTTCAAAGATATTCATTGTGTTTTTTACATTTAGGCTGATCCTTGAAAGCTGCTGAGTGAATCGATCTTCTGCTTTCTACAAGATAATATAAATTTAAAGTATATTTCACAACTGTTGAACACTAAGTTTTGCAAAGTGCCAGGATACAAAGCCACTGGAAAGTTGTAGGTGGTTGTGATCGGTAATTAAAGGAATCAACCGCGCGAGAAGCTGCACCCCAGGCTTAGAAAATGGTGTCGTCTCTTTTAGATGGCAAGAGGTGCTTTCTAAAAGCACTACTGGTTTGGTTCCCATCATGGATACGTTGATTCGTAAGATGCCCGAAGTAGCTGTGGTAAGTGGCTAGTAGTAATAACACTCATATAATGACAAGTAAGAGAACTCAACCTGCAAATTATTACATGACCGAAGTTCTTGATCCTTCTCAGCCATTTGTAAAAATTATTGAGGTGCATAATATTGAGATGGATTAAACTGTCTTTGACAGCTGTCTGTTTTTTTTAAAATTATCTTTGACTTCATTCTGTGGTTTGTTTTTGATGAGACTCAGAGAGAACAAAGATCAACACCGACGGCACGAAACAGGTTAAATGCTTAGAAATAGTAATTTTTGTCTACATCCCGTAGTTCTTCCTTGATCAGAGCGTGGAGAAAAAGGGTGACCCAGAATCTAACCATTATTTGGTGAGTCCACTTGACAATTGTATTTATAAAAATGATTCCCCTCTCAGAAGAAAACGCTTAGGTGCAATTTGCAGCTAAAATTTCGATTTCATTTTCAAGACGTACTTGAAATTGAAAACTATCTTCGCAGTAATGAACACTACTGTAGTAGTGAAAATAAGGCCTGAAAAAATTCAGGCCTGCCTTGCCTCATATCTACGAAGATCGCTTTCAATGTCATTTCCCAAACCGCAGTTCACTTATGATCTTCATATATTCACAGTCGTAATTAATCCGCTTGTTGTTTCGATGAATGAGATTTTTAGTAAAAGATGTCTAGATGGATTGTCATATCATAATAAGTGGAAAGTGATCAGCTTGCATGGCAACTCGATAGGTCACATTCATATCGATGGATTTGAAATAACTTGGTTGTTACTCCTAGGTGAAATATGACCTGAATCTAGTTCAAGGGCAGTTTCCAGGAGAGCCTTTTAAAGCTGATAATAAATCACTACAACTGATCAAGGTAAATTACTACCTTACTTAAGTCGGTAGGTCTATTTTAGATTAATATTTTCAGATTTACTGGCACTTGTCAATTGTTTCAGGCTGTGAAGTGATTCAACGACGCCAAGTCAAATCTCTTCTAGGTCATCATTTTGCGTCAGTGATCAAATGAATACGATTAATTCCTTAAGACAGCTAACATTTTTATTTATGCGTAAGATTCAGTTCATTGATTTTTTTTTTAAGACGATGGCGGAATATCGGCGGGAACGTTGCCTTACCCATCCCATCAGTTTCATGTTACTGAATATGAAATGGTGAGTAATAATTCCAAGGATCCAAATTCCAAGTTGATCTGAATTCACTCTTTCTTTTTAGTAGTGTTAACTGCTATCTAGGGCTTTCCGTAATTACCTTTCGGTAACTTTCACTCTAAGTAATTTACATTTCAAATTGAAAAAATTGAATGAATCTTAGTTAAAATTGATCACTGATACAAATTCACCAAAGTTTTACACCCTTCTTTTGATACTCTGATGACTTTCATAAAAGCAGCGCGTGGGGATTGTTACAGATAATACTGGACTAAACTAAATCAAGAGAATATCAACACTTTACGATCTTTTGACTTAATACTGAGGAGTAAACTTTATTTCATGTCACCATTATCACGGCAAAAACCGAAAATTGAAAAAAAATTTTAAAATTTTTTTGATTTCAGGAAAAAGTTTGGTTGGTGGACATTTGGTTTGAACCTTGTCTCCTACTTCTTGTTTTTGATTCCGCTGACCGCTTTGACTGTGTACGATCGCACTAATAAAGACATCCATTGCAAGAAAGACAATTCTACTGAATCTGGTTATGATGTATGTGTCGTATGATGTATGATGTATGTGTCGCAAATTCAAGGAAACTGAAAGTGAGCGGTTGGACTAGGCGTTAGTTCGCCTTCTTCTAGTGGGGATTATTGATCTTTTTCATGTTTCATAAAGCATTTAAGTGAGTTTATTAACCTCAAGAACCTCAATTTTCTAGGGGAACAACTAAAAAGTAGAGCGATGACTGCAAAAATAAATTTTCTTAACCCTGGCTGGCGCATAAATTGGCCATGGTTTTAAGTGGGCGCGTGACAGACTCTCCTCCAGTCGGGAAACGCTGTTCTTCGAATTCGATTCAGTTTTATCTCCGCGTAAGTCATATATTCCCCCCCCCCAACCTCGTTTCCCTCAGTAATGCTCTTAACGTCTGGAATTAATTAGCGTGCATCTGTGAGTGAATGTGTTGTTATTAGCGCTTGATTATCTTTTTATTTACCTTGTTCTTCTCTTTTTTTGTAGGAGACATGCACAACTTCAGATGTGGTAAGGACAACTTTCCTTTAAAAATAGTCAACATTACCGTTGTGTTTTGTATGATCGTTTTTGCCTCTTGATCAAAAATGTGGAAGCAATCTGTTCTACTCGTTTATTATATTTTGACCAACTTTGTAGGGATTGAATTAACTGTTAAAAAGGAAGCGCCATCACTTTTCCACACAGACAGTACTCTATAAAATAATGTGACCTTATCTTTTTGTAATTGATGGTTTGAGTGCAAACAATAGAAAACTATGGGACATAATTTTCACTTGGTACAAGGTAAGATTGATTGTAGGTTGTGAGCAAGTCTATAATTGAAGCGGCGAAGCCTGCGAGGGGTCTGTGCCCATATTTACATTTCTCACCAGCAAGCGAAGGGAATGTCGGTAGAGCCTTGTGTGATGTATTCTAAAGAAAGTTGTTATTTGCTTCTTTATGAGCTTGGGACAAAGAAAAAACTGGTCAGAGTCCTTCCACCTCAACAAGTCAAACGTGTTTCGAATTTTGTAACTAAACTCAGCTATACATATACGTAACTTATGCACTTTTGATTTTGTTTTTTTGCTTTTTTTCATTTTTTCAGGTAACACAGGTTCTAAGCACTTTAACTTTCATTGCTTGCGTGGTTCTGATTGGAAAGCATGTCTTCTCGTTAGTTCGTAAGGTAAATAATAATAACTTTACTAGAATCACTTTGACAAGTTTTTCAGTACTGTCGGACAGTCAATACATTATTTATTGTCAGATATTTCCTGTTTATAAGACATGAATCAGAAAGAGTAGAATAGTTTTTAAGGAAAGAAAAATAATTTTCTTTTCTTTCGCAAACAGCGTGTTGCATATTTAAAAAACTTCCTGAATTACGTGGAGTGGTTATGCTACGTGGCATCCATCGTTTACATCTTCCCAACTTGTGACTGCAAGCGCGGCTATAAACAGGAAGTTGGAGCAGTGTCTGTCTTCTTTGGCTGGATGAATCTCATTCTTTACTTCAGGAGGTAATCATACAATCAGCTGAGTTCTACACGCATTTTGATTGGTCCTTGCTTATGATCTATTGAAGGACAGACGCATATATGACGTCACCATTGACAATCTTTTGTCTTTTTGTTATATAAAACAAATAGATACCATGATGCCGCGGGTCGGTTCAGTATCAGAGTAATAGATCACCGACAACGTCACAATGTGGCAAGAACATCAGTGACAGACTCGGCTGCGCATCGTCTGCCACTTCTTTGTTTCTACTACATTTTGACGTCATCTGTGATCCATTACTGAACAGACACACGGCCAACATTGATCTTTCAGAAACCTTCGGAAATCCCCCTATTGTGACAGACAGAAACATATACTACAACCACTGTGTTCAGAAAATTTGGAAATTCAGTACCCTCTTTGCTTACTTTTACGGGACAGACATTACACTTACAACTTGGTCAATTAGTAATAAACAGTGAGCAACTTTCGGAATCAAATTTATCACAGGTAGATTTTTATCAGTCATCAGTCACTAGTGGATTTCCCCTTCACTGATCAGAAATAACGATGAGGTAATAACGATGAGAAATACTGATGGACTGAATGAAACATCATTTATTACGTACATTAACTTGTCCGGTGTAAGTTGTCAGATTTTCTTTCCTTTTCTATTAAACTCATAATCTGACAGAACATGGTTGCAAACAAAGGTGAACTTTAAAATGAAAAATGAACTTTAAACCGAGGATAAAACTGAACTACAGCACTTATAACGAAGGTGATCTTTCAATTGCTGAAATATTTACTCCGCAGTTTTATTATACGGTTTTCATATAAGGTACCTGCTGATAATATCAGCGAGTGTATCTTAACTGAACAATCTTGTGTCTCTTTAAGGTTGTCATCTTACGGTCAATACGTCATCATGCTCACTACAATGTTTGTGACCCTTGTCAAGGTATTTAGCTTTGCACAAAATTGTCTGTTCAAAAAAAGTAATAGTATTAATGGTTCCACAATGGTTCAAACTGAGCCGATTTACAGGCGCTAATAAAGGGTTACATGTTTAGAAGTGGGGCTTCCCTTATACACCAAGGTTGTCTTGAAGTACAGATATTTTTTCCAAGAAATCCTTCATCAGAGAAATTGTAGACAAATGTCATCACTCTTTCAGACAAGTAAGAGAAGCAGATTGTATTCAAATTTTTTTTTCAGCTAAACCAACAATTAACTAACTCTCGTATAGAAAATGCCTGATTAATAGCTTTCATTAGGATCTTACCCACTTTCCTCAAATTACAGAAAGCTGCGAACTTTTTGTCAGAGCTAAATTGTTGGCCATTGAGAAGCCATGCCTACTGTGACTGCTCCGCTGTCACCCGAATATCAGATGGGATTTGAGTTAACAAACGTTACATGGATGCGTGACAAATCTGTATGATTTTTCTTATCTTTAAGGTTTTGCTGTTGTGGATGTTGTTTATCATGGCTTTTGGTACTACATTTTTTCTGATCGTAGATAAAGTAAGTGTACTGTACTACAAATCAATCAAGAAAAGTAATGTAGAGCATCTCGACAACTCAAAGAGCCACACGGCTAAGTTTGGACACTTGTTCTGACTAATAAAGTTCTCATTACGGAAATAAGCGTAGTTGAAAAGGGAAACACACACACAAAAAAAGCATTTAAATGTGCTAGCTCTTTATCGCTCGGCGAAACTCGCAAGTTATCCTGAAATTTTGCAGTTAACCTGCTGTTCTTTCTGTTATGGCCGCGTTTTACTTTTTAAAGACCAGAAAACCTCCTATTCACCGGCAAAAGTAATTACGTGAAATTTCAAAGATACGTGCCACTCAATAGCGTGATATCGTGGCTTTTACCTTTCTTACCTTAACGAAATTAACTACTCTATGTTTAAGTTTATCCCCATTGCACGAGAGAAGAGTTTGCTTCCCACCAAAACTAAATTCAGCTTAGCAACACTTGGGTTGATTATTTACCGTGTAAGGCGACTCTGTATATGATCTGATAACTGGAATTAAGTGAACCAATTAAAAAACCAGAAATGCAATGACAAAATTCATACAATGATAGTTCGACATTGTTTGTTAGTAAAGATTTTGTATGTCATTCGCAGTGTTAAGCATAGACGCATTATCATGTATGCGGATGTTAGGATTAATTCACTCATTTCTAAGTATTACATTTTGTTTGTTCTATTGTTAGGAACACTTCAGCACTTTTGGATATGCCTTGATGTCAATGTATGTCATGACACTTGGAGAACTCAACTACCACGATGAATTCTTGCCTTGGGATGAATTAGCTTTCCCGACGCTAACAAATGTTCTGTTCGTCATTCTGGTTCTTGGGATGCCCATTATTATGATGAATATGTTGGTATGTACTAAAAGCTTTTCGAGAGGTGGTTGACTTTGTCCAAATAATAAATTGTCATCCCTATGATAAAGTGGATCGTTTTACAGCCCTGGATGGCAAGTATTGTTGTGAACAGCGTCAGACGCCTTTCGGAAAAAGGCGCACCTTTTTTCATTAATCCAGGATTAATTATTAATGAGAAGTTTTATTCTATGTTTCCATGAAATCTTTTGAATCACACATTATTGTGTCAAATATGAAATATATGAGTGCTCAGTCGGATACGATGTCATATGGGGCACACACCGAACAATATTTGCATTTCGTTCTGGATATAAGTGATTGCTTGGCGCGTGGTCAGGATCTTTCTGTTTACGCAACATCTCACATTCAAACATTCTAATTTAGGCGGTTGACTTTAATCAACTTCCTTTATCACAACGTAATACTTACAGGTGAACGCTACCTGCTTTGACTGTTCAGTTACTATTGGCATTTCCATGGGATTTCTCGATTCGACGATACAATGCAACTTACAGTTTCTTCGGAAAATAAATACTGAGTCAATAAAGTCTGTATGTGGTCTTAATCACGTGTTTTGATGTCACTCGCCAGGTTGGTCTCGCTGTTGGTGATATCGATAAAATCCAACAGAATGCTTTAATGGATCGCTATGTTCTACAGGTAAGTATCTCGCTACATAGCCTTGGACCATGGCTGTAATAAAAAGCAACAAATAACAACCTCACTCTTTATCGAAACGAATCCAGTGACCAGATGTTTATTATTGAAGAAAGTGGGTATTATCAAACTCAGCTGTATAACTTTCCCGACAATCTACATACCTTGGTGATCAACGGTAAAACAGTGACCGGTTGTTTCTCCCATACTTGCCAAGAATCGTTAAAGGGAGCATCTCTGTTTACCTGTAAATTTGAAATTCACCAGCTTTAACTAGTCAAACATGACGTATGAAAAAATTTTGAAAAAAATTTAGAGTTGAATTTGTAATGTGTTTAAACCTTTTTAGGTTCAGTTGCTGCTAGACATTGAAAACTCTATGCCGATGTTTATCCTTAAACATGTACAAGTGCCAAGCTATTCAGAATATCCCAACCACCCCAAGACACTCAAACAAAAGGTAACGGACTCTTAAAATGATTAGACCTTAAATCTCGCTAGCGACGAAACTGACAGAGGGGATGAATGGAATTTTTATACTTTTCTACCGGCAGCTCGGAATTCCTTGAATAATCGAAAAATAATATATTTTTTAGCACGCAACTGTGTAATTTTTCAATACTTTGCGAAAGAAGAATTTTGATATGCTTATAGCAGTTTAGTACTAATAAAATGGTGAGCCTCGGGCATGTTTTATAGTGACTGATCGTAGGATAAACATTGAGGGCATTACCTCGTCGATGAAGTGCTGCTAAGGTCGCACACGGCTTGAGGAGAATTTCTTGAATTTTGTTATGACTATTGAAAGTTTGCATGAGTTCATTAACCAAAAAAAAAAAAAACGGAACTAGTTTGTTCTATAGGGAAAAAAGGTGTTCAAGAGTAATAAATACTTTGAGCCTTTTCAAAATATACTGAGGTTATGTTCCTCAGAGGGAACCAAGCTCTCTCAGATTCTATGTTAAAAGTATCTAAGACAAAATTATTTTAACTGTCTCATAGCTGGTAGATGCCCTTATTTCTTTTGGCAAACCTGAGTCTACTGAGGTTGAAGAAGAAGAGGAGCTGTCGCCTGGAATGGTGCAGATTATTGGAAAACTTAACGAACAAGAGCAAAGGTTTGTCATCTAATTTGCCAAGAATAGAAATGAGCAATATTGTCCTGGGTGAAGTGAATGTGAAGTGGTTCGTAACATCTAGTTCTTACCTAATTTTCCATTCCACACATTGTTGGAAAATGTAGGTATGTCTGTAAGCATTAACTTTATTTAGTGCAAATTTGTGTTAGCCTTTCATTACAAACACATTGAGATTTATTATGTGTAGATGTCAAAATTCCTTACCCGTTATAACTTAAAGAAGAGTGAATGAGCCCTTAGTTGTTTTTAATTAGGTAACAACGACACTATGATCCATTTCCCCCGGCATTCAGTTGTGATTGATACTCATGGGAAAATCTGCCAAGATAAGAAAAAAGGACGGTGGGGCTCCTAAAACGTCTGCGACATTATAGTTGAAGTTGAGGTTTATGGCCCAGAACAACAGTGCTGGTCCTTAGCTTCTTATATTCTAAGCGAAAAGACTTCTTTGAATGGGGTGTTAGACCATCGTACACCCCATAGTATCATTTCAGGGCTCTCGGAAAGTTCTCCGGAACTATTTGTACTCCTAGGTAGTGAGAGTCACCGTGACGATAAAGTGAGTTGCCCAAGACATGGGTCAACACAAAACACAATGAATCAGCCGGATCTCAACCCCGAAACTCTAGATCCGCAGTCCAGCTAGCGTGCAAACCTTAATTCACCGAGTCTATCACAGCCTAATTCTTAACAGCGTATCTTTTTGGATTTAATTTTTTTCCAGAGCCGACAAATTGTACGACTTGTTAAAAGAGCAGACTGAGATGCTGAAAGAACTTAACAGTCGCGGTCGAGAAGAAGCGGTCCGAGCAGAAAAAAAGACAGAGGACAATAACAAGACCGACAGCGGAAAACTGGGGTTGTTTGGATTTTAGCCCTTATAAAGTTAATTGACTCTCCACGTATGCGTGCATGCTATTATCATCATCTACATGCATGGCAGAGTTTTCTTTCCAAGAACCGAAATGTGGTTCAAATTACTCCCTCAGTTATTTTTCCAAAATAGCAAACATAATGACTACGAGAAAACATAGAACTGAAAACAGTCTAGTTGTTTAAGAGGATCATTTTAAAACGTGAGACTGCCCTGTGTATAAACGAAAACGTTTTTGAAAGTAACAGAGTTTCGTCAGTAAAAATAAAGAAAAGATAACTGTTTCAGGATTTTATTTAGTTCAAGTTTTAATCATAAAAATCGTCGCAGCACCATTCAATTCCTTTCTCGCCTTTTTTACATTTTTTTAACAAGCAGGCTACTAAGATTGAATCTTTTCCCCACGCGCACACGTAATTTATGGCAGGTTGTCAAGGACATTGCACACGCAAGGCATTTAAGGTTCAGCAAATTTTGTTCTTTGGTTGGTTAATCACGTTTTGCCGCTTTTTCTCTGTTTTCACTTTCTGTTCTCATTGGCTACTTGTTCTCTTTCTCTTTGGTCACAAATCAAAATAAAAGCCCGTGGAGTGGTTCTATCTGAAGTATTATTAATTTTGAATAACAATAATTAATCGAGAAGATTCAAGATCAAATTTCCGGTCCGACCTGCCGACAGGTTTCTAAAGCGTAACAGCCCTAAAATACTTAAAGATGCCGCAACGATTATCTAATGGAGTATCAAGATCGATATAAATCATCAATTTGACTATTTTTTCACGAAATGGCTCAAATTTTCCGGAAAAATACTTCGTTAATTATTCCTACATGCAAGTTAGCTTCATGCGTTCGTGTTATAATACACGTCAAAAATAGTTTCTGTAACAACATTTAGCCATTCAAAGAAGTGTTCCTATAAATGTGAAACTCATATGTTGTATCCTGTCTTAAAAGCTTTACGTAAAATTTCAAGAGTAAATTTCCTTTGAACACAATGCGCTAAAGGATTCAGTTTGTTTTGACAACTAAGTTGTTTATTTCGCTCAATTGTTTTTATCATGTGCATAATCTTTTTCAGACCTCTTTTGCCGTTTTTCTTCAGGAAAATAATTCACCCTTACTTGGGGAAAAATTTCGTCTTACTATTTGTAAAAGTTTTTTAGATTGTGACCTAGTTGGTTCTCATGATTAACACGGTGGAGTTTCTTCAGCGTGACCGTGGACTGCCGTGAACTAGCCTGGTCACGCAATATCAGCATTAAAAGATTGTCTCACGAATGGTGAACTCAAATTAAAGAAATATTTAGCTCGGCATTTATATCATGATATGTTGATGTTTCGCCATCGAGAGTATGAAAATCTCCCCAGAAGAAATTGAGAAATTATGCAACCGATAGAAATTGGTATATTTAATTTAATAAACGTTTCCAAAAGTAGGTAAGCGAATTTAGTAACTTCAGTTAAAGGCATAAATCATTGAGAAAATTTCGAGGAGGCAATAGAGAAAGTCTCTTTTGTAAATGCTCGTACATACTATAGAGTGAGGGTCAACATGACTCGCGGTCACGGTAGGCCTATGATTTTTTTGTTTTGAAATTAAAGGCACGCCTACAAAATAACAGGCGCCAATTTTAAAATGATTTTTACAGGTTTGCTTACATGTTCATGCTTTAAGCGCTCTCATTCATCGACATAGAACTGTACATCAGGGTACTTAGAGGCGGTGCACATTGCTTCTCAATAAATTCACTGTAAATGCCCTGTCATTGATTTGCCAGGGCTCCATGCTTACAGTCGTCCCAACCGTGGCCCGTGTGTTACACTTCATTAAAGCATTGACATTCTTGTATAAAGGACATCAGTTGTTCAATCAGGTCTTTTTTCCTGTTTCTTGATTTGAATGGTACTTCAAAAAAGTGCAAGATTTCTTTAAGCAGTGAAACATTAAAAAGACTCGGCTTATTATCTCTCGCACACTCGCACAAGTTAAAGGCGTCGTAAGACAGAGGGTGTTGCGGCTTCAGTTCGTTGGAAATGTGCGCCATTAACTGTTGTCTTTCAGCTTCTTTTTTCCCTAGAAATAGTTCCCTTGGATTGTGCTCGATTTCTGAGTGTGCTTGTTGCCTTCCTCTGCTTGCTGCAAGGCGAGAAAAGAAACCCTGTACTTGGCTCTTAGTCAACCACTCGTCTCGTTCAAACAACCTTCTATTCTGCTCATCTCTTGTCTTGCACATATCATTTGAGACTTGCTGAAGGTCAGCTTTTGGCCCTGATTGTTCCCCTAGGTCAAACTTTGCAGTTAGATATTTCTTAACTTTGTCAGTTAATCTAATGGATCCTGCTCGTGGCCTGTGTAGGGCCCAGCCCATGATGACAGTGTGCAACGCGGTTATTGAGACATTTTCACTTTGGCGGATATTAGGTTCAGACGGTTCATTTTCAGTGACGTTGACTGACGTAGTAAATCTGTCTGCCCAATCTCTTCGAAGCTTGTCATATAGCGTTTCTGACGGCCTTTCAACTTTGACGCAATGATCCCCTACGTCCAAATGTGACTTGAGCTCTGAAAATGTTTGGAAACTCTTCACGCATCCAGGCTTGGAACATTCAAACATGCTTATATTCGAATCGTCCCAGTCATTCTCTTCTTCTGAACTCTCTGTCACAGGATCTGAGCATTGATAAACACATGTATCATGAAGAGGGAAAAATTTTTCATTAACAACGATACCAGTGTCCCCTTGGCCCTTTAACACCAGCTGGTCAAAAGAGATTTCCTTGCCACGCCCTATTCGGTACGACCTCCACACACGAATACTTTTCTCCTCAAACTGGACATTGTGAAGCTTGCTAAAAACATCTATCTTGTTCATTTCTAGGCCGGTTATCTTCGCCTCGTCAACTTCGCAAACGAATGCGGATCTACCTTTCACTGGTCTTTCAGAAGGCGCCCTCCTCATGTCTCCCGCTGATAGAATGTCGTGTCCTTCGTTGCAGAAACGTCGGATGCATGTTTTCATCGGACAAAGAATTCTATCACATACATCCTTGCCATATTGTGGCTCTGAAAAGTCGTACCGACAAACTTCTAAACCAACCCGCTTATCAAGCTGTGATGGTAGTGGCTGTCGCTTGCTAGGAATATTTCTGGCAACCTCGTCCATCGCAGCATTGTAAGTACCAAGAATCTCTGTTTCGGATCTGACGGAAAGTTGCTTCAGGAGTTGCTGGAGTCCAACAGGGACTAGAAAAGGGTTTCCTATTAGGGGTAGAAATCTGACGAAATGGCGTTGTCTTCATTTCAGTAGCATAAGATAAAACAATCTTACTAACGGTATGAAAGGACATTATTGGACATGTTCTCTTCGAAGGAATGCGCTTTCGATGTATGGCGTGGCATGCGAATAAACACCTTGCGTGGTGAGGTATCTTAGAAAAAATAAAATATCCAACAAACCTCTCAAAATCCGCAGCTTCCTGGTTGACTGAACCTTTGGTAGAACTTTGCCATCCCAAACCCAACAGTCACTCAGAATGCTTCTTCCGGCAAGTGGTGCAAATAGCTATAAAATTGCATCAATACAACTGATAAATCGTCGTCGTCTTCATCATCGTCTTCATCATCGTCATCGTCATCGTCATCGTCATCGTCTAGCTTAGCCTAAATCATTTCTAAGAGAAATACTAGGCGTTTCAAACACATCTAGGGGACCTATAGTCTCTATCGTGCGTAACACTTGTCGTTGTGGGTGTGAGATAAAGGAAAAGTTTTCTCGAACCTTAGCGACGAGTAGAAGAGGGGCGACATCGCGCGAGGCACGGGAAGGAGATGCAGATTCACCGCTCAGGACTATATTTGTTTCCTTCATTACCACCAGCCAGGCTGCCCAGTAGTCTTAGTGTAGCAATAGCATAAAAGCATTAAAGAAATATCCTTGGTTGATGATAAAACACGCATTTTTGTATTTACGATTGCGACACCAATAATTAACCAAGGGAAATGGACATGTGACCAACAACAACAGAAACTTTTTGGGGTATTGACATTTGAGGAAACAGAACCAGAGAGAGCCACAAGGCTATTGGTACTTACGTGATCCTACAGCGGTGATTTCTTTGAATTTAAGTATTATTTCGTCAGCTATTTGGAAGGTTATGACGTGGCTGCCCGTCACACTTGTAACTTTCCCAGTATGGCCAGGGTATTGGCACGATCTTGGACCTCGCCAGAATCTTCCCAGTAAGTGTCTGTGCCTCGGGCAGATGGTCATTCCCTCGAGCTGAATTCTCGAAAAATGCTGAATTCCCGCTCTCGCCATGATTAACTTGACTTCTGTAACTTCACTGCATTTTGACAAGGGGCAACTAGCCAAATGGGCGGATATATCTGCGTTACACTCCGAGAGCAAAACATGCCCTACTTCCTCCCTACTAGAACCGCACGGACTTTGAAGTATTTCGTAAAGAGAACAATTTGGGGGGACAGCAGACATTTTCAGTGCTAACAAAGAAAACGTCCCAAGAAACACTGTCTCGGATTTGTCTGAAAATCTTGCCGAAAAATCTTTTTGTTTCCGACAGATTTCAATTGAATTAGGAAGAAATAAACAAGTTTGCCAAATATTCTTTCGCAAAAAATAGAAATGCCACACAGAAAAGTTGGAAAGTTTTACTTTAATAAGCTTTAAGCAAAAAACATTTCGTGTCTTTTTGAAGAGATGTACCTGTAATGAAAGGAAATGTAGCTGCCGTCGAATTCCTTTTTCAAAGTTAATCAGTAATTGAATTAAACAGAAACACACGGCTCCTTTTTGGCGCCTCGTAGAAAATGAAAATGGTCATAAAAATATAATACAAAATTTTGTCATGAAATACCGAAAAAAATTCCTACAATACAAAGGAAAAAAAGAAAAACACAACTCTTTGTCATCAAGAAAACGCTAAAACAATGTGTCCTAGACTTCACATTACATAACTTTCTGTAGCTAATTTGTACACGGTAATTTATTAACCGCAAGAAAGCTCTCCCTACTTGTTTGTTCTTCAGCACACCTATATCTCAAATACAACGGTGTAAACGTGATACGATACTTATTTCTAATGTATAAACCAACCTCTCATTATTTATTACTTGATTTTATGGTGGTTCTCGGTCCTGATATTGATAAACTGTCGGACCGTGTTTTATCGAGATAAAAACACTTGAGCGAAAAGAACAACTTTATTTATCAAAACAAACTGGGTTCCGTTAGCGCATTGTGTTCAAAGAAAATGGCTCTTAAATTTTACGTAATGCATTCAAGAAATGATAAAACTATTGAGTTTCCACATTCTTAAAAACACTTCTTTGAATAGCTAAATGTTGTTACGGAAACTGTTTCTGGCGTGTATCGTATAAACGCGATCGCTGCGGCCAGGAGGCCGCAGTTAATTTGCATATAGGTATTAAAAAGTATTTTCTGGAATATTTGAGCCATTTCGTTAAAAAAGGCCAAAATAATGATTAATATCGATCTTGATACTCCATCAGATAATTGTTCCTGCACCTTTAAGTGTTTTAGGGCTGTTAAGCTTTCCAAACCTGTCTGCTGGTCGGACTGCGTTATCGTTGGTTTCGATCAAGGCGGCGAATATTTATTAAATTCACAAAGCTCTCTGCGGCGCAGGATGAGGAGTTTCCAAAAGTTTTATTCTATATTTAACTTGCTCTATCTAAGTACTTTGAAGCTGCATTAGACTTGAATCTAGATCAGGTCCCACATAAGAAAAAATAGCTTTCAACCGCATGTACCTTACTCCTCACAAATTTTAATGCTCACGATAAGGTATTTTGAAAGTTTCATAACTCGGTAAAAATTTTACAGAATGCAATCGTTTTACCTTTGAAGTATTTAAATAAAGCCATTCTTAAATATGTAAAATAATCAGCTTTGTAGATTAGGAAATAAGGATTTGGTAGCGCTCGATATTTATAGCTTAATTATAGGGGTCACAGAAGACAAATTGAGCAGTTTGGGGGTGACCTTTAAAATTGTCTCGTAAAAATAAAAAAAAATAAAATAGATCAAAATAAATGTGATATTTTTACATGATAGAATGGTTGACTTTCACTGAAAAGCTTAGGGAAATCGGTGCAGGACCGAAATTTGCCTTATACGTTCTTACGCGGACAGCCTCTTAATGTCGCAAATCAGTGGTATAAAAACAATGGCATGATTGTTAACGAGAAAAAGCACCGAGCTCTAATGCTGGGAAAAACTGAGCACAATTTTGTTTCCCAGTAAAGAACTCGATAGATATATTAAGGATGACAATAGATACTAGGTTCTCTTTTGATAATCACGTATCAATTATCTGTAAGAAAATAAATAATCAATTTAACGCTCAGATTTCGGAAAATTATTGATAAGGAGACGCTATTGAAGCTTTATAAAGCCTTTATTTTGCCGCATTTTTACTACTGTACTTCTGTTTGGCATTTCTGTGGTGCGCGCAATGACGACAAAGTAGATAATCTAAATAAGCACATTCTTAGGGTTATACCACAGGACTACAGCTCTCCATATGACATTCTACTAAGGAAAGTTAACTTAAAATCTCTATTCTTTAGACGCCTCCAGAACTTCATGATCACGTTATATAAGAGTCTGTTTTTACAAATTATTCAGGTTATTTAAAAGATATGTTCACCGTACGGTCTTCATCCTACAATTTGCGCGGAAATCATATCCTGGCCCTTCCCAACCCAAAAACAACGACTTACGGTCTGCTAGCAAAATATGGAACTCTCTCCCAGACACTTACAAAACATTAAATTTTCGAGAATTCAAGCAGGAGATCCTCAGATATGAAGCTTTTTCACAGTAGATCTACAAGTTACATTTCCCTCTGCATGCACAATGTGGTATATAGTTTATAAATAATAATGGAATTCATTAGTAGCTTTGTATCCTCAGCCAATATATTTGTAGCTCCGTTTCAGTAGCTCCGTTTCAGTAGCTCCTTATCAGTACCTCCGTATCGGTAGCTCCTTATCAGTAGCTCCTATTCAGTAGCTCAGTGTTAGTAGCTCAGTATCAGAATCTCCTTATCAGTAGCCCTGATATCAGTAGCTCTGTTCTAGTAGTACTGTATCAGCAGCTCCTCATCATTAGCTACGCAATATTAGCCCCGTAACAGTGGCTCCTCATTAGTTGCTCGGTATTAGTAGGTCCTGCATTATTAGCTCCGTATCACCAGCTCTCTAGCTCCTGTATCCGAAGCTCCGTATTACAAACTCCGCGCCAGAAGCTTCGTATGAGTAGCTCCGCATCATTTCCTTCGTATCATTTACCCCATATCAGTAGCTTCTGATCAGTAAGTCTGTGTTAGTGGTTCCGTATCAGTAGCTCTGTAGCAGTAGTTCTGTATCAGCGGCGTCATTAACTCTTCTTCAGTAGGTCCTAATCAGTAGCTCCATTTTAATAACTTCGTATAAGTAGCTGCGTATTAGAAGCTGCGTAATAGTGGCTCCTTTATCAGTAGCTCCATGCAAGTATCTCCATAAAAGTGCCACCATATTAGTACCTCCGTTTTAGTAGCTCCGTATATGAGTAGCGCCATATCAATATCTTTGAATCGGACGCTCGATATAAGTAGCTCACCTGTTACTTAATACGTATCAATAGTTCCTGTATCATTCACTTCATATCAGTGGCTCCATATTAGATACTCTGTATCAGTAACTACCCATCAGTAGCTCCCTATCATTAGCTCCTTATAATGAGAAACCAATTAGTAGCTTTGTAAAAGTAGCTCCAAATTAATAGCTTTGTTTAAGTTGTCCCGTATCCGTAGCTCTATATCTGAAGCTCCTGTATCGGTGGCTTCCATTAGTTACTCTATATAGGTAGCTCTTTTCTAGTATCTCGTAATGAATAGCGCTGTAGCTGTAACTCAATATCAGTAGCTTCCCATAGGCTGCTCCGAATCAGTAACTCTGTGTCAGAGGCTCCTGCATCAGTAGCTCTGTATTAGTAACTTCTTATCAATAGCTCCTTATAAATAGCTTCATATCAGTAGCTCCTTACAAATAGCTCCATATCAGTAGCTTTTGTATCAGAAGCTCCACATTAGTAGCTTGGTCTCAGTAGCTCCATGTCAGTTGCTCTACGTCAGTAGCTTCGTTTTAGAAACGCGGTTTCAGCACCGTTTCAGTAGCCTAGTACCAGTAGTTCCCTATCAGTGTCCCAATATCAATAGTTCCGTATCATTTTCCCTGTATCAATAGCTCCATATCAGTATCTCCGTTGCAGAATCTTTGTATTAGTGGCTGCATATCAGTAGCCTCCTGGTTGTCATGAACATCTATACGCCCGTCAATCACTTATGTCACGTCACAATCACTAAGTAACTAATTACTTCACTTTCATTGTACAATTCAGTCTGTGTTGTAGTTTTCGAAGAAACCAGGAGGCGTTGTCGAAGAATAAACACACACTTTAATCACATACACGAGCCGATGTAACAAAAAGGTAAGATCACTAATTGCATTATGAATACCGCTTATATATACCAGGGGGCCTGAGGACTAATCTGCAACCGCAGACCGGAAGCGATACTATGACATCCCCATTTTCTTAAGGTAAACAAAAAAGGCAAAAACAACTGATTACAACAACTGTACGATTAGAAATGAAAGCAAATGCGGAGGCGCCTGTTCACACTGTATACTATAATTTCAGCCTATCAAGAGCCTTAATTGTTCTATTGGGTCTACAAAGTAGCTGCACAGGAGAAAGGTCCGCAGTTGTACTTTGCAATACAGACTCGGGTGGCTCAGCAGGGGAGCAGGCAGCACTTGCACGGAATGCAGGGGCACTGCTGATACTATGCTCTCCGGGATCCGCTGCACATGAGGTGGATTCATCAACTGGAACGTCGTCAGGAACTTCATCACTTTGGAGCTGAAAATGCTCTCCAGTGGCACGAAGATGACCTGCAGGTAAAGGTAGATCATGACCGAGGGGGGTACTACGGAGACAAAGCATAGCCAGATGAGGATCCTGTCCAGATTCCTTGCACTTTTGTAGAAGATCAATCACGGTTTGCACTGTCCTCTCACTGAGACCATTGGACTGGGGATGCAGAGGACTGGATGTGACATGAACAAACCCATAGCTACGACTGAACTCCTGGAAGGCGGCAGAGGTATACTGTGTGCCATTGTCTGTTACCAGTTTACTTGGGATTCCATGTTTCTCGAAGATAGACTTCAGGCGTGCAATGACTGCAGAAGAATGAATGCTGGTGAGCTTTTTTACCACAGGAAACTTACTATAGTAGTCAACGACTAACATGTAGTTGTCAGTGTTCCAGTAAAAAATATCAGAGCCTACGGTATGTCATGGCTTCTGCAGCACATCATGAGACAGCAAGGGTTCCTGTAGTGTAGCTGTTTCAGGACATCAGGTTGAAGAGACTCAGGAATGCCGATACGCGTGCCTTTCAGGATCAGGCCATCGGCTACGGTAAGCTCATCGCGATATTTCCAGTAAGCATGAAGAGAAGCAGGGCAGTTAGATCTCTTTTCAGGCCATCCGTGCATAATAATTTCACGCAGAGCCGATAAGGTTGTATCTTTATCAGTTTCTTCTCTTATCTAGGACACCCTCATTGGGCTTGAATTAAGTTGAAGATAGACCTCGTGCACAGATACATCAAGCCCTTGATGGCTTCATCATGACATGAGCTGATTCTTGACAGAGCGTCAGCGACAGGAATGTCCTTCCCAGGAACATATTTGATTTACACGTCGTACTTCTTAATGTGCAACATCATCCTAGCGATGCGGGGTGGTGCACTTGACAGATACTTTTTAAAGATAGCTTCAAGCGGCTTATGATCGGATTCCACGACAACGGGCCGGCCATAGGCATAGTAATGGAACTTCTCCAAGCCAAACAGGACAGCTAGCATTTCCTTCTCGATGTTGGAGTAACGACTTTCTGTTGCAGTCAACAACTTGCTGGCAAACTCCACTGGACCATTGGCTTGTAGGAGAACAGCACTTAGACCCCTCTGTGAGGCATCCACCAGAATGGTTACAGGCTGGGTACCGTCAAAGTACTGCAACGAGGCAGGGGCCATGATTGCCTTCTTGATGCGGTCAACAGCAGACTGATGCTCAGGACTCCAGACAAACTCACTTGTTCTCTTAGTGAGCGCCCAGAGATTAGCTGCTATGGATGCCTAGTCAGGAATAAAACGACTCAGGAACTGGACCATCCCAAGGAACGTCCATAGAAAGTATGGAACCGATCTTCCGTGGATCAGGCTGGAGACCTTCAGCACCTATGATATAACCAAAGAAGGGAAGTCCAGTGCACCTGAATTTACACTTGTCCAGGTTGAAACGAAGACCAGTCTCATGTGCACGCTGAAGAACAGCACGAAGATTCTCATCATGATCGCTAAAATCGCTATTGTAGCCGTAGACAACGATGTCATCCGCAATTCCAGTGACGCATAATAGGTCACCAAAGGTTTCGTCCACTTTCCTTTGAAATATGTCCTGGGCACAAATTAGGCCAAAGGGCAGACGTAAAAATCTGTACCTTCCAAACGATAAATTGAAGGTTGCCAACAGCGAGCACTCTATGGTAAGCTTGATATTCCAGTAACCGCTGCGTGCATCAAGGATAGAAAAGCATATAGCACCATTAAGTTTAGGTAGGATATCCTCTAGCGTAGGTGTTAAATAGTGTGGCCTCTTCATAGCACGGTTCAGGTCTTAAGGGTCCAGGCAAAGCTGCAGTGCACCAGTACTCTTAGTCACACATACAAGGGAGTTGACCCAGTCAGTAGGCTTAGTAACTTTTGCCAAGATTCCTTGCTCAACCAATGAAACAAGTTCCTTCTTCAAGGGCTCCCTGAGGGCCTCTGGAACTCTTCGTGGAGGGTGCACGACTGGGGGAACGGCAGGATCAACTGTAATGCGATATTCGCCCTGAAAGCAACCAACACCTTCAAAGCAATCCTTAAACTGTTTGAGCACCTGCTCTTCAGCAGCTGGATCTGGGTCGCAGATAGGTGTGTGGTGCTTGGCCTGGAAGCCCCTTCATGGTTCGTGATACTGAAATTCATGGTTACCAAGTTCAAATATGTACATGTTGGTAGGCCTAGTATGGTTGGGCCATCAGCATCAACAACATGGAATGGGCATGGTTTACAGGAGCCACCATAATTCAGTTTAAGTACACATGTGCCATGATGACCAACAGTATGTCCACCAAACGTAGTGATGATGGTGCTGGATGGTGTGAGGCTAATGGGAATGCCACCAGGGTTACATGATGCATTTGGGAAGAGTTATTTGTACTTACTCAGAGAGATAACGTTTCCCTCAGCGCCAGTATCAACCTTACACAAGAGCGGTTTCTTAGAGTAATCCGAGACCACGTCCACCTTTAGGTGGGCTTGCGTGTCATTCTTGGTGACCTGATTAACTGACAAGGTATGGAAGTATAGCTGATCCGGAACAGATGTTGGGGGGCTTTAGGAGGGCTTGAGTGTCATTCTTGGTGACCTGATTAACTGACAAGGTATGGAAGTATAGCTGCTCCGGAACTGATGTTTGGGGGCTGTCTTCCCTGTAATCACGGGCTTCAAGGCTATGGGAATGCTTCTTCCTATCAGATTTCCCTTTTGGAGATTTAGGAGGCTTTGGACGAACATGCTTAGTCTTCCCTTTTTTGTCAGACTTTGATGAACGACAGACTTTCCTCCAGTGGTTCTCTTTTCCACAAACACCACATTTTGAGCCATAGGCAGGGCAAACGGATCGCTCAGAAATGTCGTGCTCGGTGCCACAACATCCACACAAACGAATAATGGGGCCGCGGGGCCTGATGGGAGGACCGCAATTTAACACGTCAACGTGAGTTGAGGTACCAGGTGAAATTTCCTTAATTTGATTATTTGTTGCCTCTTCGGTCCGGGCGATGTGCAGAGCGGTATCAAGCGTGAGAGTGGCGTCCTTGTCCAGGAGTTTGGTTTGTGTACGCTTGGAGTTCCAAAAATAAGAGCGTCGATGATGTGCTCATCAGGATTCGTAAATCGACATTCTTGGACCAGAATTCGAATTTTCTTGACAAATGAATCCGCTGACTCACCAGGTTGTTGCTTCAGGGTCCTGAGTTTGTATCTTGACAGCCGAAAGTTGCCCTTTGGAGACAAAAAGTTTTCTAAATCTAATTATATTATGAATACCGCTTATACTAGGGGGCCTGAGAACTAATCTGCGATCGCAGATCGGAAGCGATACTACGACAGTCTGGTTGATAATAAACTTAGTCAGTCTGATCAAATATCAGCGAAATATCTCTGAAACTGGTTGTAGGTCTGTATCAGTAGTTCCTTATCAGTAGATCCTGCGTTACTAGATCCTTCATTACTAGCTCCGTAACAGCAGCTGTGTAGTAGTAGCTGCATATCAGTACTTTCGTAAAAGTGCATAGATCTGTATCAGGATTTATAGCTTTATAATAGTAGCTCCGTTTCAGTAGCTCCTTACCAGTACTGGCTGCGTATCAGCAATTAATACGGGTGGCCTTATTTTCACTACTGCCTAGGTAGTGGTCATAACTGCGAAGATCGCTTCCATATTCATCTGTTATCCGCAGTTCACATTTGATTCTCATATATTTACAGTTAGTTATTTATCACTTTATGGGTTTATTTGAGACCAACATAATGACCAGCTCCCACTTGGCTTGTTAGCTCATTTGGTAAAGCGCTGCACTGGTATCGCAGAGGTCATGGGTTCATATCCCATACTGCTTAGGTAATGTTCATAACTACGAAGATCGCTTCCATATTCAATTCTTCACCCACAGTTCACAGATATGATTTTCATATATTTGAAATAATTCTCGTGCTCTTTTAATTAGCTTTTTTTTTTCTAACGCCAAAAATTATCCGTCTAATGTTGGAAGAACTTTCTGTAGTCTTAAAACAAGAATTTTTGTTTTCCCAAACTTAAGTCTTCAATTTGTTCACAGAGTTCGTCACACGCCGCCATATTGAATTTTCAAAAATAACCACATGGAATACCACAGGGTCCTGTTCGACCTTAACCTCTAACGTCATCAGACAAGTGGTTTGTGGTAGTTCTCTTCTGTGGCAGGCCTACGATAGGATTTGGCCGGCTTTCATTTTTCCAAGGTTAAAGCAAAACGGCGATTTCATTAATTCTTGAAATGCCTGCAATTTTTGCCTTTTTTCGTATCTCTAAGAAATATATGAGTTGCTAGTAATCGGATCTTTGTGATTGCGCCAGGTTGTTTCGACGCGAAAAAAACACGATTTTGGTGAGAGATCGTCGTTTTTTCGCCGCCAGTTTATCACAAATGGATTTAGGTAATGTCGATACAAAGGAAGCGTTCGTTTTGGTGTGATTAATCATGAAATATGTCATAAACTCTACCGATTTACTTCCTACCTTGCGTAAGGTTTATTTTGAAATTAACATCGCTCTTTGGTCTTCACATAACACATAATGACGTTTAAACTTTACTGGAACAATTTGAAATAGTACTTGGCAACGACACACAACAGAATAACAGAACTGAATGCACTGTTGCTGTACAATCCCTTCCAATGCTACGCTCAGTTGCCAACGTATCCCACGGAATCGTCTTTAGGTTTCTTGCTTGGGCAACATTTTTTCTGGACTAAGACTCCATCGTGAGTTCCTTACTAAAAATACAGGCCTATTTTTGGTTAGTTTTCAAATCCCCCTTTTTCCATATTTCTTTTCCTCTGGGCTCAATACTTTGGCGTTCGTAACTGTTCACGGCAAATAAATTTTTTTCCACAAATGTAAATCTGAGGGTCTAATGGTGTTAACCGGTAGCCGTAAAACAACCATACATTTTAGCCGTTGGTCGTAAAAGTTGACAAATTATAATCGTTAGTCATAAAAAAGGTTTACTGTAGCCGATAGCCGTAAAAGCCATTACTCCACTGAGACCCTCAAACCATGTATGTTTCAATAAAAACTCTATCTACTTCTTTTGTCTACTTAAATCTTTTTCTAATCAGCCTTTTCAAAATTCTTCCACATCAATTATAAAGGTACAATTCCAGTAATATTGATCGATCTTTCCGAGAGCTCTCATCCCACTCCAACAACATTTCAAAAAAGGCAACGAAGCGAGAAGCAAATCGGATCTAGTACATTGTGACATGATGGCTTATCTGACGAATGATGCCAAGGCTGTTGTTGGAACTGAGGCACCTCACAAATATGTATTGAGTGTTAGGTTTTGTTAAAGAGTTGGACTATGTACTTCATGAATGGTTATTATCAACTGTTACGTTGAGAACTCAAGCTGCGCTATTCAAAGATTCTTTCCTCGTTCAGGTGTTAATTATACTTGTATATTTCATGTTATTTTAAGTTGGTTAAACAAAGTTGTAGGTTGCAGAATTTGATCAAACAGACAAAAAGCGTTTGAAAAGAAATGAAATGGACAAGTTAAAACAGTTCAATATTTAAATTCAATAAGATTAAAAGAGTTACATTATATGTTACATAAGGAAAGAATATAGACATGAAAATAATCCTAAAATGATAACCATGACATGCTGAAGTAATTAAAAACAGATACAGGTTGAATGCTTACTTTTCAAAGGTTGTCAGTATAAATCTGAAAAAAGAAACAAAATCAGACATTAAAAGAAACACTTGCAAAATGAATGAATTCAGCGCAGTGAAAGAAAATTTGGTAAAATTTCCGCACAACCCCAAGCTGAAATGGTAATAATAATTTAACAAGAGAAAAAAACTACAGATATGAAAATAATATTAAATGATAACCATGAAGTGCTGAAATAATTCAGAACACATAAGATTTGAAAACTTATTGAAAGAAGGTTGTGAGTATAAATCTAAGGAAAAAAATTAATATCAGACTTTCAAATAAACACTTGCAAAATAAATGAAATTCAGCTCGGTTTTGTTGTCAGAAGATTCTAGCGTTAGACCCTATCAAATGTGTGGCCAAATATTGACTTTCCCAGAGAAGAAGGACTTGATGCACAACATGGTGACCACATCCAACAGAATCAGCTGCATATCAATGCACTGGGCGACCACCACAAATCAACCCAACCAGACTGGAAAAAAAAACATGATTCACGATGGCTCCTCTCAATAACATGCACAAGGGTCACTGTTGATGACAGCAGTTAGCTTGACCATTATCTTGCCTCTCCCGCCAAATTAGCCATTTGACCAGATTACCTCGACTAATAAGACCAAATTGGCCGCCTCATCCAACACGACTGACGGAACTGCTAAAACACTTCTAAAGCTAATAGAGGTCATTACCAGAAATCACGGACATTTTGCGCCGGTGTCACAGTGTATTTGGACCCTTCGCGGATTTGGACCCCCCGTCCATATCCGCTGGCGGATATGGACGCTCCTTCGTAGGTTTGAACTCCCCTACCAAACTCTTTTTTTGAGCATCGTTTATATCGCATTTGGTAACTAATTCTATTTGCAAGCTTTTTGTCGATGTTCTTTTCAATCACAACACAACATTCCTCAATAAAGGTAAAGAAAAACAGCCATTTCGCTCCATTTCTGCCGCATTTATTATAGCGAGTCGTACAGTATACGCAAGAATTAGATGCGAACAGACTACTGCATTCGAACTATTGAAATTGTTACAATAAATCTTTGCTTCCTCTGATGCGAATCAACATTGATACGAAACGTCATAACAATGGTGGAGACTATTGCTTCCACTCACAAAAAACTCAGTCTGATTTTCTGAAATAATAACATCAAACAGTTTCTGAACAAGAAAGAAGAAACTACTCCTACTACAAGTCGTCTGTAAAGCCTATGATAAATAAAAATGTTTCTGACTGAAAGACTGCTTTCGGGGCGGAAAAGCGGCAAGGTAAGTACTTACTGCCTCTTTAAAAGCTGCTGTTCCAAGGCTTGTCTTCAGCCGACCGTTTCACTTCTTATTTATTTTCTCATAGGAGATAGAGTACCTTATCAAGTGGAAAGGATGGCCCATTTCATCATGTACCTGGGAGCCTGCCCTCGATCTATCTAAAGAGCTTATCAAGTGAGATGAATTATTACCGCAAAAACATAATTTTTGAGTTCATGCCCAAATGTAAAGAAAGCTTAAAAAAGTTGAAGTAAATATAGTGCCTTTAGAACAAGACAGGCTTTTCAGTTGACTTCCAATATTTAAAATACCTTGTTTTTATTATAAGAATAATTAACATAAGCTGAAAAATTTATAACCCATTTGTTAAGATTGTTTTAAACGATTTGTTTTTGTCCTAATAAATCTGTTTTCTGGATCTCTTTTAGACTTTAGAAAAAGCCTCCACAGCCCTCAGAAAGTGAAATTGCTTCAGCATCTAATGGCTTTTATCTGGCAGCCACCTTTAAAATAAAATGCTGTCAAAGTGCAGTACACTTACATAGTTAACATAGAGCATGATGTCTATCGATATTTTTTAACTACAAAGGAATATCATCAAGGGACTCTCAATACACCATGCTCAGCTGAAAGGATTTTAACAAGTTGTCTCTGCCCTATCATTGGTGGTATATATTTGGACTCTCATGGCTGAAGTGTGGACGTCTTGTATTCTGCAGCATACACCTTTATTGATATCTGGCTGGCTATACCAGCAACTAAACTACTCCCTACATCTAGTTACAAGCTCGGCTTTTATAGGTACGGTTGAGGATCTAGAACGTTCCGTAACATTACAATAGATTCTACCTATATATTGATTCAGGGATGACTCAGCATGACACAGCTACTTCTAGAACATTCTTGAAGGTCACACTACAATGGCCAGAGAAAGGCTGATAATTTTCCTTTGAAGATGAAAGATTACCTTGGAAACTCACCAAAGCATTTCGTTGTGCAAGCAGGGAAACTTCTTCGAGCACCAAAAAAGCCCCTTGAGATGGTATCTCTTATAATTAATACTAAAGCGTGCAGTGAAGAATATCTACCAACTTAACTTTTAGCTAATTAATAA